TGCCTGTATCTGGAATGGTCCCTGGGTCGGTCTGTTCCTTTCCTGATGCGGCTGTCCCCCACCTCCAATCCCTGTATCCGGCTGAGACACGAGAACTGCCAACCCCATACAGGGTTTGCTGGGCTCTGGAAGTGCAGGGAAGAGCCAGAAGCTTCTGCCTGCCCCAAGTAAAGAGCAAGAGGCCTGCAGTAGCCCATGTGATTGCCTCATTTGCTTCAGCTACCTCGTAGAGCCCAAGGGGATTGAAGGGGAAGGCTGTCCCCCCCAGTGTGGGGGATCGTGGCTATGCAGCCCAGCTGCCCTCAGAGACCCAGTCCAGCCATTGTGGGATTGTGGGGCTACAGTGAGCAGGGTGGCCCCAGCCAGTCTTCCCAGGTCCAAAATCCAGGCCCTGGGTGACTAGAACCTTTGCTCTCAGCTCCAGCTGAGTCTAGGCATCCAGGCCAGGCTATAGGAGGATCCCATTCTCCCTCTTCTTTCCGTTGACCAAATCACACTAATCACTACAGCTGCTCTGCTTGTTCTGCTTTCCAAAGTCAACCCAGGTACCTGGGTGCCGCCCTCACCAGGCAGGAGCCTGGGCCAGGTGCAGGAGAGGTGGCCTATCTGAAGGCCAGTGCCTTCCTCACCAGGGCAGGTCCCATGCACGTGACCTCAGTTTTAGGACCAAGAGCTGTGTTGGATTCTTAGATTGCTAGCTTTTCCTCCAGGGGACCATTGCCGGTGAGGCTCACAGCCGAGAGCCCTGGCCCTGCTGAGAGTAATTTGTATTCCGGACCTTGTCCAGCTGAGAGCCTTGTACACCAGATTCTAGAGAGGTATCGGCAGCACTTTTTGTTTTCCATGAGGTTTTTGGACCATGGGCTGAGCTCAGGCACTTTCTGTAAGAGAATGTTGTCCGTAAAGATGGTTGGTTTGCTTTCACTCCTCCACTCCCATCACAGCGGCCCTCCTGAGGGCTGACCAAGAGGCCAGTGGAACTGCCCTGGTGGCTGTGGGGGAGGGCCAAAGCCTGCTGAGCTGATTGTCCAGCTGCTGCTCCAGCCCTCCCACCTTAGCACAGAGGTGGTCACCCCGGGGACAGCCAGGCACCTGCCTGGGGGAGGGGTGCGCCTTCTGTCCCTGTCACTGCTTCCCATATGGCCCTACCTGGCCACCTGGATTGGTTTTAAAGCTGTGCTGATAGCCTTTTTTGTCTCCTTTTGGTATTCACAACAGCCAGGGACATGATTTTGATGTATTTTAAACCACATTAAAAATAAAGAGTCTGTTGCCTTACTTGTTTCTCTCCTAATCTTTGTGGTCATTTGGTGCTTCTGGATCCATCTAGGCATCACTGACGTGTCTGGATCTGCTGCAGAGCCCTTGGCTGTGCCCTGTGGTGCATCTTCCAGAGTGCTGCCTGCCTGCCAAGAGCCACCACAGGCAAATTCATTTGAGCTGCCTGAATAGAGCCCTTGGCAAAGTTGGCATGATGTTCATATACATAGAAGCATCAGATTTCTTTCATTCAATGAAAAATTGTCCCTGCCCCATGAAGGGCTAGGCTAGTGATGAAGATACTTTTTTTTCTTTTTTTCAGTAATCTCTATATCCAACGTGGGGCTTGAACTCCCAACACCTAGATCAAAGATCACATGCTCTACTGACTGAGCCAACCTGCTCCCTGGAGAAAGATGCTTTTTTTTCCTTCTAATACTTTTATTTGAGAGAGCACATGCAGGGGGAGCTCCCGAGGGAGGAGAAGCAGGCTCTCCGCTGAGCAGGGGCCCTGACAGGGGGCACCATCCCAGGACCCTGGGATCATGACCTGAGCCAAAGGCAGATGCTTAACTGACCGAGCTACCCAGGTGCCCCAGAAAGTTCCCTTAAAGACAAAGTTGGTGGTGCCATGGAGCACAAAGGAAGCTCCTGTCCCCTTCAGCAAGAAGCTAGGGGTGGACACCTGGAAAGGCCTTATGACCCAAAGGGCAAGTAGAAGTTTGAGAACTCGATTTAGTAGTGAAGTAGTTCACCTCGAGATGCAGGTGCACAGGAGGGCAACGGGAAGAGGTTATCGAGAACCTGTGTGCCAGGTTAGGGGATTTGGAGTAGATCCAGAGGACACGGGGAACCACTGAAGGTGCTAAGTTGACCATTGGGAAGATCCATGAGGAAGGCATAAGGTAAGGAGACCAGAGACCTATGCATAGGCCAATTTGGGCATAGCCCAAATCAGATGGCTGGACAGTCACTGCTGTTCAGGGCTGTCTGCTGTGGGCAGCATCCTCTGGCATTGGCCTACCTCTGAATTCCTTGGATTTTGTACGTTCCCTAAGAGCACTTTTGCATGCAGTTCTGAAGAATGGGTTGGTTTCTTAAATACTCCTCACCCAACCAAGCCCAGGTACAAAAGCTGGGGCTCCTGCCCAAGCACCCTATTCTCTCTGGAGGCTGGGTTGGCCTGGCATGCCCAACAAATGGCCGAGACAAGTAAAGGCCCCTTCCCTCCAGGCCTCCACAATGCCTTCCTCATGGAAGAAGGGGAAGAAAGTCCCCTCAGAGCTTCTGCCCCCTCTAATCAAGCTCCAAACAGTTTGATACTTCTCTGTGCTGGCCACATGGCTGTAGTCAAAGATCCTTTGGAAGGAGTCAGGAGAAGCTGCCCCAACTCTTGAAGCCCCCAAGCCAAGCATCTCTGAGAACAGCTTCACCCTAGAGCCCTAGGGCTGCTCCCGGGCCTGCCACCACTTTTCTGGAGGAGCCCTGGAGCCCCTCTCACAGCTGGAGGAGAACAACTTCCCAACTGTTCTCTCTGCCTTTGCAGACCCCTCCCTCCAACCTCTGGTTATTGAAAAAGTCCCGAATTAATGTCTCCCCTTCTGGAACCATCTAGGTGTTGGAAGCATGTGGGCAAGTCCTTGTGTGGATGCCTTAACTTACCCAGAGGCCCAGGTGCAGGGAAGCTGCTCCTGCCCTGTGGGAGGGGAAGGTGGACCAGGGTGCCCCACATATTGCCCCGCGGCAGTTATTTGAGACCGCAGGGCAGCCAGGCCAAGGATAAGCCCGGCTCCTGTTGCATCAGATGGTTCTCCAGGGACCTGAGCTGGGAGCCTCTGCCAGGGCTTTAAACAGCTGCCCCATCGATCTGGCCTGCAAAGCGCACAGGCGGCACTGGGCCAGCCTCTGCGTGGCGCCCGGGTTTCCCTCCTGGGGGCTGGGGTCAAGCGCCAGGTAATCGCCCGATTCCCTCCTAGACCTGGGGGTGGGAAAGGAGGAGGCTCAGTCCCCTCCCTCCATCAGATGCCGGCTAGAGCCCCCACTGCTTCTCAATGAGGAGGAGTAACCATAGTTGGGGGCGCCTGGGTGGCTCAGCTGTTGAACATCTGCCTTTGGCTCAGGTCCTGGGGTTGAGTCCTGCATCGGGCTACCCACAGAGAGCCTGCTTCTCCCTCTGCCTATGTCTTTGCCTCTCTCTGTGTCTCTCATGAATAAATAAAATCTTAAAAAAAAAAAAAAAAAGACTAGTTGCCTTTCAGCAAATGGGATGGTGACAGTATTCCTACGGGATCGTTATGAAGATTAAGCGTATGTAAAGTGCTGAACAAGCGACTTAGACCTGATAGGTGGTTGTCTTCTCTTGCAGTTCCTTCCAGCCGCGCTGCTGCTGCTAATAGGCTTGTGTGTGTATATATATCCTTTGTGCTTTTATCTATTTTCCTGCTTATGTACATTTCCCTCCTCCCTATCCCCCCACCCTGGCCTTCTGACAAAGCCACCACCATTTTGTAAGGGACTGTAGTTTCTCTCCAAACCGATGGGAAAGTGAGTTTTTGGATTGCCATCACACAACCAACATTTGTCACCTTAGTTCAGGTGGGGAGGTGAAGTCAAGTGAGGGGGAGAGCCTAGGAACGGCCGTAGGCTCCTCCCATCTTATGCATCCCAAGCACTAAAGGAGGTCACTTTCGCTTTAAATGCAAATTGCCTCCTGCCAGCTCCACTTCCACGGCTCCCTTCCCTAAGAGGGGAGCAGCAAGGGCGGAGGGAACCGCTCGGAAGCCTCCGTGCAGACCCCACACCTCCAGGTCAGTTGCCCCCGTCCAGGGTGTGGGAGGGTGCAGGACGTCGCAGGTCTGATGCTCCGTTTTGGATCCTGGCTCCCCAGCTGAGCGATCCATTTGGCGGCACACGGCTTTGAAGACTGAGCGTGGGAAATAGATCCCAGGTGGCCCCAGCCTTCCTGGGGAGCAGCGGTTCCTGCCCCAATTCGTCTATCGAGTCCTTATTTGGGCCAAGCTGCTGCAACGCGAGACGCAGGACGTGCTCCTGTCTCCCCTCCACCACACCCCCTCGGGGCCAGCCAGCCGGGGGCCAATTCCGATGCTTATGCCCCCGGTGGCGCCACCATCCCAGAGTGCAGCCCCCGGCTTGGTGGCGGCGGCCCGGGGCGAGCCGCTTGGGAGAGCCCGGCCTCCCCCGGAGGACCTCAGCGGCCTGAGGCGCAGGGTGGAGCTGGGCTGGGGGCTGAGCAGCGCCGGCCGCGACGGCCCTTGTCGGAGGCCGAGTGCGCCCGCCCCCCGCCGCCCGCCCGGCCGCCCCGGCTGCCGCGGAAGCGGAGCCGCCCTCGGGCTGCGGAGAGGGAAGCGGCGGCGCGCCGGCCCGGAGGACTGGGAGCCGCCGGAGCCTTGCGGCCGGGCGCGGGCGGCAGGGGACGGATGCCAGCGGCCAAGTCGGGGAGCCCGCGGGGAGCCCCGTCCCCGTCTTCTGGTGGCTACTGCCCGACACCCAGGTCTCCCCAGGTGCCCCCACCCCGTACTTGGCCACCCCCCTTACTGACGGGCCGAGGGGCTTGTCGGCGTCTGCCCGGACCGCTGGCTGAATGGAGGAGGGCCCGGCGAAGGCACTCCTAGTCGGCCTCCCTGCCTCCCCGCCTCCCCCTCCGCTCCCCGTGCCAGCTCCGCCCCTCAGCTTCTGGGCAGGAAATCCCAGCAGCAGCAGCGGGAGAATGGTGCCCGCCCCACCCCTCCTAGGCGCGGGCCAGGTTTTCAGGCTGGGGCTGGAGGGCAGGCGGGGGGCCTACGCTGGGTCCTGGCAGGCCCTTCAATACACATCCAAGACCCCAGCAGGAAGGCACTGGCCTCTGGCCCTGCCCATACTGGACAGAGGAGGGGACCAAGGCCCTGACAGTTTGAGGGGACAATCAGAAGGTCCAGGGCCCATGCTTTGCAGCTCTCAGGGCTTGCGGGATGAAGTGATGACTTTGCCTCTCACTGTCTCAGTGGGACCTGAGGCCTAACTGGCATCCAATGGAGGACAAGAAGAAGAAAAGGAGCCCCAAGCCCTGCCTGACCCAGCCAGCCCAGGCCCCGGGCACACTACGAAGGGTCCCTGTGCCCACCAGCCACAGCGGCTCCTTGGCCCTGGGACTCCCTCATCTGCCATCCCCCAAACAGCGGGCCAAGTTCAAGAGGTGGGTACAGAAGGAAAGCAAGGCGAGGAGGGAGGGACCCCAACTCTGGGCTGAGCCCTGTGGGAAGGAATGTAGACAGCCTTAGCCTAGTTACTAAGCAACAGTTGATGCCTTCCCTGGGGCTGCCCTACTGGCCCCTGAGAACTCAGAGATGCCTCCGCCCCAATCTCTGCCCTCAGGCGCCCCAATCTCTGCCCTCAGGCGTAGGGTAAAGCTAAATGGGTGACTGTGCACCTTAGAGAAGGGAGCGAGGCGATGCTGCCAGAAAATGAGAGGCTATAGGGCACACGGGAGAGACAATGTCAAAGCCAAAGGACCTGCCTGACATGGAAGAAAACTATTGCCCAGAAGGTTCCCAGAACCACAGGTGGTTTGTGGCCCCAGAGAATCATGGAGCAGGAGATGGTAACAGGATACTCAGGTGTACGTACGATTTGAATTTTCTGCTAAATTTTTCTTAATGATTAGGAATTTGCATCCTACCCTTCAACCTATCCATGTGTGTTTTCCACTAAACACGAGGTGTTCTTTCTCCCATTATCATGCCTCCCTCTGGCTTTGCACACTACTAGCCTGAGACAGATGTCTGGGGATGGTGACAGTGGGGTGTCACAGAAGCTCAGAGCTGGAAAAAAGACTGTAGGGAATGCAACAGGAGAGAAGGGTGGGCAGGCTGAGAAGGGTCATTCAGTGTTAGCCTGGGGTGATGGAAAATTCAAAACAGTTTTGAAGTAGAAGAGGAGCAGAAAGACATTTTGGGGAGAGATAAGATGGCTGTCGTGGCAATAAGGAGTAAATGTCCCCAAGTGAGGGCAAGTGATACTCCGGGTCAGGTGAAGAATGAAGGCGGGCTCAGATAGGAATCCAAAAGCCCCCTTCCAGGCCTGGTTCTGGCCATGAGGGTCATCTGAAAACAAAAACTTCTTTTGACCTCTTCTCCCTATCCCTCCTCACCTGCTCCCTTCCCATCCCAATCTGGTGCTCAGGGCAGGGCCACAAGAACAAACATCCCTTTCTGTTCTGGAGTAGAGAGGAAGATGAATTAGTGCATAAAGGGCATAAAAAAACCCTTTGGGTACCTGGCCACTCCCACCCTGTGACCATGGTCATACCCACCCCAACCAGGGTAGGCAAGGAGAAATGCCGCCCAGTGCTGGCTGGAAGTGGGGGCGGCTCTGCAGGCACCCCCCTGCAGCACTCCTTTCTGACCGAGGTGACCGACGTCTATGAGATGGAGGGGGGACTGTTGAACTTGCTCAATGACTTTCACTCAGGCCGGCTGCAGGCCTTTGGTGAGTCCCAGGGGCTGGGCCAAGAGGGTATGTGGCGGTGGGGGTGAAGGGCCTGGTCTCTGGGAGGTGGCTGGGGCCCGGGTCCCAAGCTGCTCCCAGAGCTCAGACAGGTGCTGTCCAGGGAAGGAATGCTCCTTTGAGCAGCTGGAGCACGTGCGGGAGATGCAGGAGAAGCTGGCCCGGTTGCACTTCAGCCTGGACGTGTGTGGGGAGGAGGAGGAGGAGGAAGAGGAAGAGGACGGGGTCACTGAGGGGCTGCCTGAGGAACAGAAGAAGACGATGGCTGACCGCAACCTGGACCAGCTGCTTAGCAATGTGAGTCAGGGCTGGGTGCTGCTCTTCCCCGGGACACTGGGGGTGGGGGAGGTAAACCTAAGGCTAGTCCTGGCCCCTGGGTGAAAAGCTGGGAGTGCATGGAGCCTCAACCCCCACAAGATGGCTCCCAGAGCATCTGAGGTTTGGCCTGGTGCCTCTCCTGACAGAATCCTCCTTTTCTCTCTGTTGACAGCTGGAAGATCTTAGTAATTCTATGTATCCTTTCTGGGCAATCCTTCTGTGTGTATGTGTGTCTACACCTCCCACAGCTGAGATGAGTTCCCTTCTTCCCACCACCCTCTAGGAGTATTTACAATATAACCAACCTCTCTCCCCTTTCTGTGGAACTGAAGAATTAGCCACAAACTGCCCCACACACAGATTTCACCCAAATAGCAGGAGGAAGGTAGTTGCAGGGAATGTGAGTTATGTACTTACGAAGATCTTTGCAAGTGAGGCTCCTGGCTGGCTCAGTTGATGGAGCACGGGATTCCCAGTCTCTGGGGTTGTGAATTCGAGCCCCATGTTGGATGTAGGCATTACTCAAAAATAAAACTTCTAGTTACACTAGTGAAAAAGATAATTTTTTTTTCTTTTAAGAGAGGGAGATGGGGTGAGCCGAGGGAGAGGGAGAGAATCTTACACAGGCTCCATGCCCAGGCAAGAGCCCCCTGCAGGGCTCCATCTCACAACCCTGAGATCTTGACCTGAGCCAAAAACCAAGAGTGTGACCCTTAACTGACAGAGCCACCCAGGCGCCCCCAAGATAAAATCTTTAAAAGAAAGAAAATCTTTGCAAGTAGTTTAGCTGACACCAATCCATGGCAAAGCTTGTCGGATGTCTTCCTACTCTTTCAACATTGGACAATTGTTTTCACTGATTTCGGTGGGAGATCCCCATCTAGTCTTAAGCCAGAAATAGTGCAGGTGCACGTACCTGCAAGATCTAGACCAAGAGAGAAGGGATAAGCCACCTAGCAAGGGGGGCAGGTGTGGACTGCAACCTGGACCACGGATCACCCGAGCCCCCGCCCCCGCCCTAGTGCAGTTGGGGAAGGGCGGGCGGGCGGGGCAGGACAGACTGAGGCCCAGAGCGTCACAATCCTTGACAGGCACAGCCAGAAGCTGCACCTGGCGGAGAACGCCGAGCCTGAGGAGCAGTCCGCCGCGTAGCGTCGGCCCCAAGTCGGACCTCTCACTCCGTTCAAACTGTGACTTTTTACTGATTCGATCGGGTGTTTCGCGGCCCCCCAGGTGCTATGGGGGAGGGGGGCACTGGATGGAATTAAACCAGACAGACACCGGCTCCGTGTGCTTCCTGCCTTCCCTGCGCCGTCACCCGGGGAAGCCCCCGGCCCCGACCCCGCGGAGGCACCGGGCGCCACACACGGTGGCTCGGACGCGCCAGCTCGGGGGCTGGATTCCCAGCGCGGGGTCTGCGAGCGCGAGGGGTGAGCCGGCGGCCGGACGCCGGGCATCACTGCGGGAGGAACAAGGTTGCCATGGAGGCGGGGGCGGAGCCTGCGCGCGGCGCGGACTCGTGACGCAACTCGTAGGCGCCCGGCCAGCGGCCGGTCCGTGGGCGCCGGGATGGAGCGGGAGCGGTTGGTGTGGAGCGTCTCGGCGCTGCAGGTGCGGAGCGGGCCGGGGGCGCACGATTCCCACCGCGGGATCTCGGACTGGGCGGTTCGGACGAGATGCGGCTACCACGCTCAGTCACCCTCCCTCGTGCCCCCCTCTAGAATCACCGGCTCACCCCCCACCTGAAGAATGCTGGGACCCACGGACCCCCCCGCCCCGCCACTCCCCCCGTACGCTCCTGCGGGATCCAGGAAGTAGGGGGAAGGGCCTCAAATTCAAGAGGGGGATCCAGTCCGGCATCCTCCCTTGAACGCCTGTCCTGACGCACGGAACCACCTACCCTTTCCCCGTGGCCAGATCCCCTCTTACAGTCCCTGGGATGACCTCTCCAGGAGAATCCCTCACATGTTCCCACTTCTGCAGTGATAAGCATTTTCTTTCCCCTTATTCTCCACGCCAGGCCTGCGTCCGGGGCTTCTTGGTCCGACGCCACTTCCAGAGTCTTCGGGCTGAGTATGAGGCTATTGTACGAGAAATCGAGGGTGATCTGGGCACGCTTCAGTGGACAGAGGGCTGGATTCCCAGGCCCCAATTTATCCCTGAGGTACTAAACACCCCAGTGGAAGAAAGGGGGGGAAGGAGGGACCTGGGCAGGGAATGCAGAGAAATGGTAGCATCCACCCCTTCCTGTTGACGAGCTTTTCTCAGGGGAAGCGACTCCACTCTTCACATTACAGTCCTTAATCCTTACCACTTTGCATGCTAAATCTTGGCACCCAGATGTTTTTGGATGGTTTAGCTGTGAGGTTCCCATACTTCTAATTTCTTAGAAGGCAAAATCCCATCGGACCCGGAAACCCCAAAGGAGGGCACCAGATCCACAGCAGGAACTTTGGAGCCGCTTCTCAAGTAAAGAACCTGAGAGAGATGTTGTCTTGGGGGAGGTGATGCTGAAGAGGTCAGGAAAGAGCTCGGCAGACTCAGGAAGTCTTCTTTGCAGAAGTGACAGCCCCTGGTTTCAGGATGAGCACAGCAGGAAAGCCAGGAATGTCAGCCAAGAGGAGATCAGAGATACGCCAAGTATGGAAAACCCAGGTACCTCTCTGCCTGGACTCAGGGCAAGCCCCTGACCTGCTCTCGGCCTCAGCTTCCCCATCTGAAAAGTGAAAGTCTTGTGCTCAATAAGGTGCATCCCTCTCCTCTTTCCCCATGCCTAGTTAATGGCACTCATGGGTAGGGAGGGGGAGAGTAGCCAGTGCCCAGTGTGTACCCCTAAAAGCCTTCTCCCTCTTTTCTTCCCTCCTTCACAGAAGCTGCAGGTCCAGGACTGCCCTACAGCCCCACAGAGCTCCGGGAGCTCCAGTACCACCACAACCACTTGGCCATGGAACTGCTGTGGCTGCAACAGGCTATCAGTAGCCGTAAGGAGGTAGGCACTACCTTCAAGCCCTTCCTGCATGTTTAGGGCCAGGGGTGGGGCTTAGAGAAAAGCCTCCTGCTCTGTGCTTAAGCAGCCCTGCCTGGTACAGTGTCTGTGCTCTTCCCCAACAGTACCTGATTCTCAAACAAACACTGACATCTGGCCCAGAGGTGAGCCGGCCCAGAGACAAGCCCAGCTTGTGCCCAGATGGCAGGACACAGACCTGTGAGAGGGCTGGGTCACAAAGAAGCCCGCCACCAAAAAACCAGTCCTACAAAGACAGGACCACTAGAGAGCCAGACTATGTGGGTGACTGTTGGAGGCTCAAAGCACAACGCCACAAGTCCCTGGAAAGACTGGCCACTACAGACAAAACCACTGCTGGGAACAAGTACAGTGACCCATGCTACAGAAGAGCTGGGCCACAGCTTCCCACACTATCAGATAACCAGGCCTTAGAGAACAGGTTCGCCAAAGAGCTAGACTGTGGAGAACAGACCTTTGGACGGACCTGCCCGCAGTGGATGACTGCCCTGGATGACCACACCCCCAAAGGCCTCAAACCCAGGGGCTCCTATTCCGAAAAGGCCAGGACCTGGGTGCCCACACTCTGTGAAGACCCAGATATTGAGGACAAGTCTCCCAGAGGGCCGGAACACAGAGAGGCCAATCGCCAAAGTGCTAGGCCACGGAAGTTGGACCTCTCAGAGGACTTTGGCATCTGGGATGAGACCTTGGCAGAGTATGGTGGCCAGGATCTCTGGAAGACTAAACCACCTAAGGGCCAGTTCCCTAGTGACAAAAGCTCCAGAGACAGAACCTCCAATGAACCTAGCCACGAGGAAGGGAAAAACCAGAGGACTGTACCATGGCAATCAAGGCCGCCTGAGAAACTGTCTTCAACAGGGACACTCCACATGGGAAAGGAAGGCCCTCCCTGGGGAGCCAGGGGGAAGACCCGCTTCCAAAGGGGGGTGCTATGAGAGGGTGATGAGGGAGGCAGGGCTTCATTCTTGCTCCCTGCTACCAGCTCTACCTTCTGCCCTTGGCCATTGGTGGCTAATGGGACCAAGAGAAGCTGGAGCAAGGAGCTGGCACCAGCATAGGGAGAGGAAAGGAAGAGACTCTCTTCCATCCTCTGTCTGTAGCTTAATCCAAATTTTGGGACAGGGAGTTATCCGGGGTAAGTAAAGTGGGGAGCTTGATAGAGAATAAAGGTTTTTCATGGATTCTACACCTGGTTACATTCATCATCTGTCTCTGTTCAGGATCGACATTGGGCCTTCCTGTTCCCTACCTGCTGGCATGGGGCATCTTCCCAGGGCTGGCTGGGAGCCACAGTCCAGGGGCTGACTGGCCATCCTTGGGAACAGCCCCCAAAGCTGATCTTCCTTTGAGCTCAGCCCTTGGCCTTCGGAGTGGCAGGGCGCCTCAGAATTCTTCCCTCTATCCAGTATTGGAACATCTGTGTTTCAGTGTTATCTCAGCACTGCCTCTCACTAAGCCCCAGAGTCTTCCTTCCAATATAGTCATCAGACCCACCCAACTCTCGAGAGGCCCCACCAAGGGCTGACTGGCTGAGACCCAGAATGGAGACACATGCTCCTGCAGTCTCTCCCTGCCTTCTTTGGTGAGGGGGCAGGACTCTACTTATGATTGGCACTACTCCCGGCCTGCCTGGTTGCCTGGCAACAGATCTGCGTCTATGGCAGAGGACACACTATGGCTGGTGGTGGCAATCCAGCAGCCAAGAGGGTGGTGATATACCGGAATGGGGACCCCTACTCTCCAGGCCACCAGCTGGTGGTGAGTCAACGCCGCTTTCCCACCCTGGAGACCTTCCTCCAGGAGGTGACATCGATTGTGCAGGCCCCAGTGGCTGTGCGGGCCCTCTATACGCCTTGTCACGGCCACCGTGTCACTGACCTGGCCGACCTGCAGAATGGAGGGCAGTATGTGGCTGCTGGCTTCGAGAGATTCCGCAAGCTGCAGTGAGTGGGCTGGGGCTGGTTAGAGCCTTGGGAGGGAGGGAACTGCAAGAGCAGTAGTATTTGTATTTAGTACTTGTATGTGCAGGCACCTCATATGTTCTCTTCTGGAATACAGCAGCCCTATGCAGGGGGTGGTCTTATCCCTGTTCTGTAGCAGGGAAAATCAAGACAGGTTAAATATCCTGCCTAAGAGCCTACAAATTACAAACAGCAGAGCCGCAGCTCTAGGGAATATCTGACCCTGGTATTTATGCCCATCACAGTCAGGACTGGGCTGCTAGGAGAACATTCTCTGCAAGGTGAGCCCCTTTTTCCAAAGGCTCTTCATTTTTTTTATTATTATTTATTCATAGACACACACACAGAGAGAGAGAGAGAGAGGCAGAGACACAGGGAGAGGGAGAAGCAGGCTCCATGCAGGGAGCCCGATGTGGGACTTGATCCCGGGTCTCCAGAATCACACCCCAGGCTGCAGGCGGCGCCAAACCGCTGCGCCACCAGGGCTGCCCATCCAAAGGCTCTTCTTGGGATCCCTGGGTGGCGCAGCGGTTTGGCGCCTGCCTTTGGCCCAGGGCGCAATCCTGGAGACCCAGGATCGAATCCCACGTCGGGCTCCCGGTGCATGGAGCCTGCTTCTCCCTCTGCCTGTGTCTCTGCCTCTCTCTCTCTCTCTGTGTGTGACTATCATAAATAAATAAAAATTAAAAAAAAAATCAAACAGGTACTTAAAAAAAAAAAAAAACAAAGGCTCTTCTTGATTGGATCCTCTACCACCACCATCGCCCACCGCTAAATCCATCCATCGTTTCCTCCCTGCTGTGATTAGGCAACCTGTGCTCTCCGCTGGCTGGGGTCATCCCCTCTGTAGGTGGGGCCATGCCTTCCAAGATGGGAGAATAATTTTGAGTACCTGAGCTTCCAACTCCTATCTGGTTTCCAGGTGCTCCTCAGCAGTCACCTGAGGTTGCTTAGGGTGGCATAAGGAGCAAGGGGTGGGAAGCCAGGCTGACTTAGAATCTGGGCTCTGGCACTTACTTCCGTGTACTTTAGGTGAGTCACTTAACTTTCTCTGTCTCACGGAAAATGAGATACACTTGTGAGTGAGAATATTTCTGAGATACAGTATGATGCTTAAGGAACTAGTTTCTCTTGACCTTTAATCTTAATGGTTGGTGTCTGAGACCCCAGTCTGGATGCTCAGCCTGACACAGGGCCCTAAGGCAGGTTCAAGGGCCACATCTGTTTCTGGAAAGATGTTTTGAGACTATCCCAGTAGGAATGGATACCTGGTAAGCTGAGCCCCCAGGCTCCCCAAGATGACCTGTGACCCATCTGTCCTTTCAGCTATTTACCCCCCGGAAAGAAGGATTCAGGTGGAAAGGGCAGCAGATTACCAGTGAGTACTGGGAGTCGTCCTCTAACCCTTCGTGGGGTTGCCCCCAATTCTGTCTTGGAAGTCAGGGGCCCTGGAAATAACAGGACCTGCCAGTTCCTCAGGGGGCACTCTGCACACCCACTCTGGAGCCAGTTGCTGCCCTTCCTGGGGTGCAGGATTTCAAAACTTTCCCTTGATCCTTTCCCAGCCTTTTACTTTATCTCCAGATTGTGGTCCCCAAAGCAAAGAGGAAGCTGTAAAACACATGGAGGCAAGGGGATGGTTGGAATGTGACTCCAGGGAGATGGAAGGGCCCTTTGGCGAAAGATGTAATCTATCCCGTCCCTCCTTGCGCCCCTTGGACTGACCCCTCCAACCAAAGGCTTCAATTCTGTCCTGATTTGAGGGCGTGACTTGGGTTTCAGGGTCCTCCTGTGACTCACTACCCACGTGACAGGACCCTTGGATCGCAACCACCTGCAGGCTCCCCCTGCTATATCCAGTGAGTACCAGCATCAGAGAGCAGGAACAGAGATTCTGTTTCAGTAAAGACCAAGAAAACGGCCGTGGGTTTGTTCCAGGAGGCCCCAGGTCACCAGCAGGGATATAAAAATTCCCAGTGTGAGACACCTGGGTGGCTCAGCGGTTGAGCATCTGCCTTTGGCTCAGGGTGTGATCCTGGGGTCTGGGATCAAGTCCCGCATTGGGCTCCCTGAAGGAAGCCTACTTCTCCCTCTGTCTCTCATGAATAAATAAAATCTTTACAAAATAAAATAAAAAGTCCCAACGTGCCTAATGGGTGAAAATGGACCCATGCACTGGCTCTTAGATGATCTTCTGCCCCATGCTACCCTTCTTCCTCTCACACAGGGGGTTCTAGGGACTCTTCTTACCAGACTGCTTTGTCCCAGTGTGTTCAGGAATGGGGACCTGTTAAGTCCCCCATTTAGCCTGAAACTGTCCCAGGCTGCCAGCGAGGACTGGGAAACCGTGTTGAAGCTCCTGACTGAGAAGGCCAAACTGCAGGCCGGGGCTGTGTGCAAGTGAGTGCGGAGTGCGGGTCTGGGGAGGTCCACAAGTCCCTAGAGGGAGCCTCCCTACTGATTCCGGCTGCCCATGAGGGCGACAAGGCAAAAGGAAAGCACATTTCCCCAAATGGGATTCCTTCTATGCCACAGGGAGAGGCCCCTCCAGCTGAGCACCTGGAGGCAGGGCAGAGCCTGGGTGACTGGGCCAGGTGCCCAGAGGGCCAGCAGCCAAAGGATACCTTGGAATAGCCAAACCCATGCCATCATAGTCTGCCAAATATGAAGAGGCGTCTTGTTCACGGGCCTTTACTCACTTACCTCTCTCCCAGACTCTGCACCTTGAAGGGGCTCCCACTGTCAGCAAGAGAGGCTCTAGTGAATGGCCATTATTATGTGGCTGTCGGAGACGAGGAGTTCAAGGCCCTCCCCTATCTGGAGCTGCTGGTGCCTAACCCTCACTGCCCAGGGGCTGCTGGTACGTATGTGTGAGTTGGTGGGGCAGCAGAGTAGGGCAGAGGAAGCCACCCCGATCCCATGTCCTGCTCTGCCTACTATAAACCTTTTTTTTGTTGCAGGCACCCCCCAGACCCAAAGTCTAGGCTCCTCAAGCAGCGGGTAGGTGACGGGGGAGGCCATGGGAGGCAGGAAAGGAAAGAAAGGGGGTGACTGGCTAACCTCTCCTCCAGCTCAGGCTCTTATCGCATCTTCTTGTGGAACAGAGGTTACCATTCCCATTTGCCAGAGGAAACACCCAAGTCACAGGAGTGAAGTCAGTTGTTCAGGGCGACACGATTACTGAATGGTGAGGGCCAGACCAGAAGCTGGGGTAAAAGACGACTCAGCTAGGCTCTAACGAGGACCCTTAGACTTTGAGTTGCTGGACCTAATGCCTTCCTGCCAGGCTGGATGCTGGGAGAGAGAACTGGCATATCTGGCATAGTAGGGTCCAGAGGAGCTTATCAGCTCCCCAGCTGATCCCAGACCTGAGCCCTCTCAAGAGATGAGCCACTGAGCACTTTGTGGTAGGGGTTTGGGGGACATGGCCTGGCTTCACTGGGCCTCTTCACTGGCTTCACTGGGCCTTCACGGGGCCTGAGTGCCAGGCCCTAGCTGCTGTCCCTGGAAAAGGCAGCTTGATGGGAAGAGGGAGACAGGAGGGGATGCAGGCTATGAAGATGGATGGCTTCTCTCCCAACTTCCCACAGGCACCAGCAGCATTCAAGCTTGGCCTGCCAGGAGTGAAGGCAAGAAGAGCCAGTACCCAGAGTCCAAGCCCCATATTGCCTCTACAGGCCCATGGCCACAGGGCACAGGTACCACAGCCCTCTTCAAAGGAGCCAAGCCAAATCGGGCCTTTTTATGCCAGACCCCAGCAGGCCATTCAGCGAAGAAGCAGGCTCCCCATACCCTCATTTTCACTTCCATCAGGTGAGGGGACCCTGGGCCCTTCTCAGCCGCCCTCTACCAGTGACAGAGAATGTTCCCCACTGTTGTGGGAGGGGTCTGTAAGGGCATGGATGCCCGGGTATAGAGCTGGCCTGGACCTCCGCACACATCCTTCCTGCTGCCCCACATACGTGGCCCCTGGCATCTCCACAGGGACCTGGCAATAGGAAAAGAAGCACAGGGAAACTCAAAGCACTGAAACTTCAGGGGTGGAATTTGGAAGGAATGGGGGCCAAAACCCTGCCTCAGAGCTATCCTGCCAGCCTCCAAGATAGTGGGGAACATGGAGCAAGGCTCAGGGGAGGGGAAGGGGCTGGGACAGAAGGGCAAGGGAAGAGCTGATGGCTCCTTGGCCTAGGCATCAGCCAACACTGCCTCTTTCATCAGAAGTAAAGGGAGTGTATGAGGCTCCCCACCCAAGGAAGGAGACAGCAGGGGCCCAGGAAGTGGCAGATGACCAAGACACCTGCATAGAGGACCCCTTGGATCAGGTAAGCAGGAGCTGGAAGCAATATGTTGGTTCAGGAGTTCTGAGCTGGAATGGCAGCCCTGGGTCCCTGGAGAGTTCCCCGTTAGGACTGTGAGCAGATCTAACTCTGCAAGCCTGACCTTCTACCTTGTTAAATGAGAGGGCAGATCCAAATGTATAAATTCTCTTCCTTTCCTGGGGTCAGAAACTTCAGCTGAGGGCAGGAGGCGACAAGGGATGCTAATGTTCCTTCCGTATGGCCTTCCGCCTCCTCCAGAGGGCAGCGCAGATGGTGGATGAGGCCCTGTGCCCAGAAAAGCAGCCTGGGGCTGAGGCAGCAATCTCAGCCTGTCTTGGGATTCGGCAGCGCCAGTGAGGAACTGGAGTGGCCACTCAGCAGCCACCTTTCATCCTCCTCTCCAGCAGCCTGTTCCAGAGGACCCACAGCCTCCTCTGGGCTCACAGGATACTCTGTAGCCCCCTCAGCCCTGCCCCACTCTTCTGCTCCTAAACCTACAGCCCAGTCTTCTTTTCCTTCTGAGTAGAACAGCCCTACCCTTGGAAGCCATGTTCCTATGGGGTTCTCTGGCCAGAGACAGGAGGAGCCAACCAAGCTTGGGGGAGAAGCTATAAACTTGGGAGCAGGTCTGTCGCAATAAAAGAATACTTACTGTCCTCCATCTGTTTAGTGCAGATTTATTTGAGGCTACTACTCTCCCAGCACCGTGCCACTTGACTGAAGTGACCTGGTGGTGGGACCCCAGGCTGTCTATTTGATAGGGGCAGGCAGGTGAGGATTTCCACCCATCTCACAAGTGGAACAGGCAAGGCTCCTAGACTGTTCATCTCTACACCTGCCATTCTGGTGTACCTTCTTCCCCTCAGGTCCTCACCTCAGCCAGCCAAGGCCTCTGACAGCCCTAGAGACCTTCTGTTTGCATTTCTGGCTCAGGCTGCAGCTGGCCATCTCCATGCCGTCCATGGCCCCTGCTTCTGTGACAGTCTAGATCAGGCCATGATGACAGTGGCTGGCCTGGGGGCCCGATATGACAGCACAAAGAGAGCTGCTGGGGCAGAAAGGTTGCTGGGGAGGTATGAAGTCTCTCATGCTAAATCCTAGCAGTTGAACTGCAGTTCTCCTGTGTGAGCCACCATGAGGTAGCTAATGCACCCTAAGAGATGAGGGTGTTGAGGCTCAGAGGGGGAAGTGCTAGGTCCATCTGCTCACTGGCTGCACCTCACAGCTCAGGGAGTTCCTGGAGGTAGAAGGGCTGGAGGGTGGCATCGGCCCACTCACAGGGCAGATAGTTGCCCCTGGGTCTTGCTCACGGAGCTTGTGACGCAGAGTGCAATTCCTGTCACGGTGAGCACCATGCCTGTGAGTGCTCCTGGGAGAACGGGCAGAAATTGAGGGGCTGATTCCAGCTATGCTAGGAGGAGCTGGTGCAGGGCTGAGGGATCAGGGCAGAAGGGCTTTCCCCAGAATACCTGGAAGAAGGAAACTCTGATGGCTGTAAGGAAGCAGGAGAGCTGCAGAGGCAAGGGGAGGGATGGGAGCTGGCTTTGGGAAAGCACTAAGCAGGGTGGCAAGGCCCAAGTAGCAGCTTCCTGCACTTGCAGTGGCCTGACTTACCTTTTCCACCAATATCTTCTCCAAGGACCTTCCCAACAATCAGTGTGAAGACAATGGCCAGAGAGTTACTGATGGGCACAGCTAGGGTCAGATCTGAGTAGTTGGAATGAAAAAAAAATCTCTGAGTTGCCAAAAACTGTCTTTCTAGGCACAAAACACATTTTATCAAGACAGCCAGTTAAAAAAGAAAAGAAAAAAAAAGGCGGCAGGGGAGGGGGGAAATCTCATTTTCCAGATGAAATCACAGCACAGCTCAGGATTCAACCCAGGTTTCCTGAGTCTAAATTCAGTGCTCCCTCAACTCCAGCACAAAGACCTGAACTATAAGGTGATCTGGGAACACCCTGGTTTGCTGATAAGGAAGAGCTCCTGAGATCTCAAGGATGTGGAGACAGGCCCCAACACCAAAAGGACACAGTAGGATGAGTGCAACGGCACAGTCCCCCTTTATTAAGTGCCCACTGTGTGCTAAGTGCTCTGTGTACGCCTCTCCTTCAATCTTCATAGCACTGCGAGATGAGCATTATCACTTCACAGAGATAAGGGAAACAAAAGCTCAAAGAAGACACAGACACTGAGGCAAGTTGAGGACTTAAACCCCGGTTGACCTGATGCCAAAGCCTGTATCCTGACTGAACTGAATGGATATGGACAAACCAAACAGCAAGTGAAGCATACCTGATGGTTTCAGCTCAGGCTCAGGCCTTATGGAGTTAAAGGACAGAAATAAATGTCAGAAGCCGGGAGCCAAGGATAACTGGGTGGCTCAGTGGTTGAGCATCTGCCTTCTGCTCAGGGCGTGATCCTGGAGTCCCGGGATCGAGTCCCACATCAGGCTCCCTGTGAGGAGCCTGCTTCTCTCTCTGCCTGTCTCTGCCTTCTCTCTGCATGTCTCATGAATAAATAAAATCTTGAAGAAAAAAAAAAAAGAAGCAGAGACTCAGGTACCTGTTCAGGATGGGCCCCACAGGGCTGGGCCTTGGGTAGAGGACACAACGGTCCAGCATCTGTCCCCTAATTTTGAAGTTCCAAGGGACTGACACCCAATAAACAAACTTGAAAGGCTAAACCAGTCAATATTGTTACCTTAAAATGTGTTACATAGGAACATCTGGGTGGCTCAGAAGTTAAGTGTCTGCCTTCGACCCAGGACATGATCCTGCAGTCCCCGGATTGAATCCCACATCGGGCTCCCTGCATGGAGCCTGCTTCTCTCTCTGCCTGTGTCTCTATCTCTCTCTGTGTGTGTCTCTCATGAATAAATAAATAAAATCTTAAATAAAATGTGTTACATATAAGTTTTGTACACTTAAAACCTTTTAAGACAGGCGGGCACCTGGCTGAGCATGGTCAAGAGCATGTGACTCTTGACCACAGGGTTATGAGTTCAGGCCCCACGCTGGGCATAAAACTTACTTAAAAAAAAAAAAAAGAAAACTTTTTAAGAAAACAGATCTCAGGATGTGTGGGGGGCTCAGCGGTTGAACATCTGCCTTCAGCTCAGGGCGTAATCCTGGAGTTCCGGGATCAAGTCCCACATGGGGCTCCCTACGAGGAGCCTGCTTCTCCCTCTGCCTATGTCTCTGCCTTCTCGCTGTGTCTCTCATGAGAAATAAATAAAATCTTAAAAAAAAAAAAAAGAAGACAGATTTCACATTGTGTTCTTACTACACACACAGAGAGAGAGAGAGGAGAGAGAGAGAGAGAGAGAGAGAACGATACATCAGAAACTGACTTACTTGATTATAAGACTTATAACTGCCAGGCTGACTGCTCACATTGGCCCCTTAGCTCATTCCTTTCCAAGCATTCCTGGTTTATCTGCTTCTCCTCCCAAGAGTCCCCACCATGGTTGGCATTCCCCATCCAAGAAAATGACCACAACTCCTACCTACTCAGAGCTGCTGCTTCCCTGGGCTTACGCACCTTCCCAGGAATTCCATGACTGCTAAAGACTACTCTGCAACAGTAGATAGGAAAGGGGAGCGGCAGGGAGCAGTGGAAGAGCAAGGGTGGTGGAGTGAGACCGACCCAGGTTTCTCTGTGCAATCTTGGTTAGGTCCTTGTTCACTGGGCCCTACAATAGTGATAGCAAGGGGACAGCATCTCCATACCACAGGGCTGGTGTAAGATGAAACAGGGTAACGTGTCTAGCCCCTGGCTGAATATACACATCCTTGATCTAGTGACCGTTGCTGCTGATTATTACACGGGCAGATGCTAAAGAATAGAGGTAGGGCAGGTGATGACAAAACAGGACCCTAAGATTGCCATTTGCTCAAAACTTGGTAAAGGGCTAACCATAGTATAGGAAAAGGGTTCAGCATTCTTGGGCAGCAGGATGTGTGTGCCACAAGCTTTCAAACTTTCTTTTCTTTACTTTTTTTTTCAAACTTTATTTTTTTCAAGTTTTATTTAAGCAATCTCCACATCCAAAATGAAGCTTGAACTCATGACCCTGAGATCAAGAGTCACACGGTCTACTGACTGAGCCAGCCAGGCACCCCTCAAACTAATGCAGGGCTCGATCTGACAACCATGAGATCACAACCTGAGCCGAAACCAAGGGTGAGATGCTTAACCGACTATGCCACCCAGGTGCCTCTGTTTGCTTTTTTATTTTTAATTTTATTTTTAGGTAAACACTACACCCAAACTTACAATCCTGAGATCAGTAGCCACATGCTCCACTGAATGAGCCAGCTGGGTGCCCCTAAACATAACTTTTATGCACTGGGAAACCAAAAAATTCATTTGCTCTGCTCTGCAACATTTGTTGTATTTAGTAATCTGGAACCAAACTTGCAATATCTCTGAGGTATGGCTGTAAAATGGGTAAAACTAGTATAGAATCTAATGCAGTAGAAGACAGTCAACAATCAGTAGGAGAAAGGAAATATGTATTTATTGAGCTCCTACAGTGTTCACCAGGTATTCCGCTAGATGCTTCCCATACACTGAATTTAATCCTCTCAATGCTACAAAGACCATCATATAAAACCAATGCTCAAATAAGAGACTTGCTCAAGGTCAGCCAGGTAGCAACACAGTAGAAGCAAGAGTGTCACGGCCAGCCACTGGCATAGCAAAATGAACCTTCTCTCTTCCTCTGCTGCTGCACAAGACTGACAGGCTTCAAACTAACCCAAGTGCCCGGCAGCATACTCCTAATCAGCCCACTGTGCCCCAGCTGCTCAGAAAAGAGGGTGCAAAGAGGGAACCAGAGATGATAGGCTCTGCCTCACTCACGGAAGCAAGGTGTTTCAGGTGCCCTCCCCAAGTGACTCTTCCGGGTAGCCCCCACCACCGAGCATAGCAGTTCTAAGTCAGAGACCCACCTGTCGATGCCAAGGTGAGGTAGTAGAGAAGGGAGCCACACTGGTTGAGGAAAAAGGGCATCAAATACTGGAAACAGAAGAAATCTGCAGTCACTGTGATGCTTGATTGAGCAGCCCTGCCTTCTTTGAGCTTCTAAATATGTCCTTCCTTGGAGGAAGGGATAGCTATAAGGGTCCAGAGAGTGGTTAGCCTTCTGAAAAGGACCCTTCCAACAAGTTACTAACAAGTTACTGACTGAACTCCGTGCTTTTGCTTTGAAGGCTTCTCCCTCAGCCCATGCAAGTCCCTGAATGCCAATGTCACTCCCTCCAAGAAGCATTCCCGGAGGCCCCTACTCCAGCCTCCCTCCTGTGAACTCATGAAGCACTTAATCTGTACCTCTCTCATAGGCCTTAGCTCTATGCCGTGGTTGTGTCTATGTCTTGTCTTTCCCACTAGCCTAGACTGGCAGCACTGGAGTCAGAGGTAGTTCTCTGGATAGGGGTTATCAGAGGATAACCTTCCCTATCCTCCCTCCCCAGGGTCCATTTGAGCCCCAAGTCCTCCCTCAGTGAGGTCTGTTTGACAGATTACCATAATAAAATACTAGTCATCTCAACCATAGATTGAACCCTAATTATGTCCTAGACCCAATGTTAAGTGCTCTATGTGCCTCACCTCGTTGAATCCTCACAACTGCCCTCATAAGATGGTTACCACTATCATTTCCATTTTACAGATGATGAAACTGAGGCTCAAGGAGGACCTAGCGACTAAGCTGGTGGAGAGCCAGATTCTGCTCCAGACTTGGATCAGCTATGCACGAGAAAGGGGCCATTCAGAGACACACCTCAGTATTCAAGAAGAGGGTCTTCATCTCCTGCAGCAACTGCCGGGCCCACGTCCGCTCATGGACCTGCTGCAGGCGGGCGGAGGCCCGCTTCAGCAGCGGCTGTGTGCCACCCCACAGGGCGGCCACCAGCACCAGAGCCAGCACCTGCCCTGGAGGGAGATGCGAGTGACCCTCATCCCCGACAAAGGGCCACCCGCCGGGCCCAGCCCTTCTCGGGCCTCTTTTCCCCCGTCAGCCACCCCCACATCCCTCCCTCGCTCTCCGACGCCCCGGGTGCGACTGGTGGGTAGGAAAGGCCCCGGGAGGCGGGTGGATGGATCCGGCGGCCCGGAGATTGGGGATCGGGCGGAGGTCAAGTTCAGGGAGGGGAGGTGAAGCGGCAGAGGAACCCCGGGTAGGGTCTGGGAAGCCCCGAAAGGGGTGGGACCGCCTACCCACCAAGGGACGCCGCCATGGCAACGCCGCTCTGGCCCACTTCCGGGGGCGAAGGGGCGGAGACCCATAATCCGGAAGTGGCGCCAAAGCCTCTTCCGGTCCTACTCACGTTGCCGCTTCTCTCGCGTCAACGCCAGGATGGTGAGTTCTGAGTTGAGGTGCTAGTCTGGGGGTCTGGGACTGGGGCAGGGGCCGGTCCGGGGCGCTGACACTCCTGTCCTGTCCCCACAGAAGCCGATCCTGCTGCAGGGCCATGAACGATCCATTACGCAGATTAAGTACAACCGCGAGGGAGACCTCCTCTTCACGGTGGCCAAGGACCCTGTGAGCGCCGGCGGCCCGGCGGGACCCTGCGAGCGTGGGGGGCGTCGAGAGGGGGAGACTTCTTTCGGCCGCGGTGAGGGGTGGACAGGCCGTTTTTGCCGTGAGAGGGGAGCCAAAGAGCTCCCCATTCTGAGAAGTAGGGAGAGGCCATCCCTGGAGTAGGTGGGCGAGACATTATTCCGGGATAGAACGCAGTAGTTGGTAGGAGGAGGGAGTGGCCAGGAGGAAAAAAAAGCAAGAGACCAGAGTCAGACTATTCTTCCAGGGGAGGGGAGCAGGCCACCCCTAGAAGGGGAAAGCTGCTCCTTGGGCGGTGAGGGACAACAGAGGACTTCCTGGAGCTGTCCCGGGTCTCATTTCAGTAGGTCCTTGTGGGTGTCTTTCACTGAGTGCAAACAGCCCCTCACAGCAATGCCCTTTGAGGCACCTCCATATGGAAGATGTGTTAACTGTGAAGTGGCCAAAAGTGGGAGTTCAGAGGCCAGCAGACCTGATTTGAATCCTGACCCCTGCATCCAGTAGCAGTGTGACTTGGAGCGTGTCATTTAACCTTGATAAACTTGGTTTCCCTTTTTTTTTTTTTTATGAATTATGGGTACTAATAATTCTTCCCTTGTGAGAGTTGTCTTCAGGGTTAAATGAGGCTATTTGGGGAAGGAGTTTAGCACAGTAAATACCTCGTGTATGTTACTGGAGAATTGTTACTGTATTTTAAATTCCTTAGACATTATTTTTATTGAAGCCTCACAGCTACTCTTTGAAGAAGGCATTATTGTTGTGGCCATTTTACAGACAAGACAATATGCTCAGAAGAGAGAAGCACTGTATTTGAGAGTTTCAGGAAAGACCGGAATAATGGCCTGGAGATTTTGTTTGTTTTGTTTTAAGATTTTTTATTTTATTTGTTTATTCATGAGAGACACAGAGAGACAGAGACACAGGCAGAGGGAGAAGCAGGCTCCATGCAGGGAGCCTGATTGTGGGACTTGATCCCGGGTCTCCAGGATCACACCCTGGGCTGAAGGCAGGCGTTAAACCACTGAGCCACCCGGGGATCCCCAATGGAGATGTTTTTACAGGCCTCCTGACTCCCCTGCCACTTACCTGAAGGAAGGAGGAGAATCCAGGAATTGGTTTTTTTTTTTTGTTTGTTTGTTTTTGTTTTTGTTTTTTTACCAGCAGCCTACTGTTTCCCAAGAGATGAGCAGGAAAGGGGAGAATCTGGCCTGGTTAGAGGTTGCTGTGGTTCCTGGGGAACCTCTAAGTAGGAGACCATTGCTCTGCCTGGGATGTTTACTATGTGTCACACTGTCATTGACTCCTCCAGATTGTCAATGTGTGGTACTCCGTGAATGGTGAGAGGCTGGGCACTTACATGGGCCATAGTGGAGCTGTGTGGTGTGTAGACGCTGACTGTATCCTTGTCTGCTCTGAGTGTGGGATCCCAGGGTCTGCCAGCGATGGAGAGGTTGCCCATGTGGAGTTGGGAGTTTGGGGTGCTATTGTGGGTCTAGGGAATGATATCTCCCTCCTAATCCCTGGTCTTTTCACTGGTTGGGGGAATATTCAGGACAAGTTCAAGTTCTATATGAGAAGGTTAGAAAGTTCTGAGGTAAGAGAGGAAGAAAGGCTGTCTAGGGCTGAAGAGGGAGGTGATTCCGTTGGTTTTCCAAGAGGACAGGGGCTCAGGTGAACTCGATCATGTTTCTTTAACACCTTCTTCAGGGGATACCAAACATGTCCTTACCGGCTCAGCTGATAATAGCTGTCGTCTCTGGGACTGTGAAACAGGTAAGCCTGAATCATTTACTTTTCCATCAGACAGTGACGACCTACAGTGTATCTGTTGAGGTGAACAGGTTTTGGGGAAACAGATAATCCAGAGATGGCTCCTGTTCTAAGGAAAAGAAGACAAGAAAAGAAGCACTACAGTAAGATATAAGCCGTATTAGAGAAAGCACAAAGCACTGTGGAAGGCCAGAGGGGTGAGGGGGCAACTGACTGCCTGGAATGGGGAGGGGAGCCGGCAAGGTTTCCCAAGGTGAATGTCATACGAGCTGGGGCTTTACGGATGAAAAAGAGGTCATCACTTTGGCACATACTGGAATGAAAACATGGCAGGTGTCCTGTCCAAGTCATTTGATCTGATGGGAGCTTCTGCCTCTTGGGGAGTAAGAAATAGGAGAGAAGATGAGGCGGACTAGGGCAGAATAGGCTCCAGGCTCAGGAGCTTGAAGGTCGTGCCGTGAAGGTCCCTGAGCGTGGAGGTGCCGTGAAGGTGCCTGAGCAGTGGAGAGTATGTTTCATTTTAGCAAACTCAGGTAGCAGTGGGGAGTATTGGAAGACAGACCAAATACATGGGAGCCTATTAAGCTGCTCCGTTTAGTAAATATTTACTGGGCACCCAATTCTATGCCAGGTCTCTGCTGGGTTCCTTTTTTTTTTTTTTTTTTTTTTTTTTTAGCAAAGTGATAGAAGTTTATTAAGCAGAGATACGGAGATACAGAGGAAGCTCTCAGAAGTGAGAGGGGTCCCGACAAGGTTCCCCTCTCTGCTGGGTTCTGGGGACATGCAGAGAAATTAGAGCAGATCCTTGTTCTAGAGGAGTGCATTCTGAGCAGACATATGTATTGCAATTCACTATGAGCAGTGCCATAGGAACAGGATGTCTGGGGAGAGATGGTGGGGAGCAAGTTAAAAATCTTGAGCCAAAGCCTAGCAGTGAGGAGGAAGTAGGGGTGGGTTTTGGTCACTAGAGCAGGAGAAATAGTAGACAGGAGGATAGGCGTATGGAGAGTGTCCTCCCCTTGATGGCATTAGGCAAGGGGTAGCCCAAACTCTGCTTGTCTCCAGGGAAGCAGCTGGCCCTACTCAAGACCAATTCAGCTGTCCGGACGTGTGGCTTTGATTTTGGGGGCAACATCATCATGTTCTCCACAGACAAACAGATGGGCTACCAGTGCTTTGTGAGCTTCTTTGACCTGCGGGATCCAAGCCAAATTGGTGAGCCAGCACTAGGGCATTAGGACCAGGGTGAAGGGTGTGGCTCCAGAGCCCAAGGCCTGACATCTTCTACCCCACACAGACAACAATGAGCCCTACATGAAGATCCCTTGCAACGACTCCAAGATCACCAGTGCTGTTTGGGGACCCCTGGGGGAGTGCATCATCGCGGGTCATGAAGGCGGGGAGCTCAACCAGTATAGTGCCAAGGTGAGGAAGTGGGTGGAACCCAAGCCCACCAGAATGATTCCCTTCAAGAGTCAGGATAGCACAGTAGTGAAGAGCAAAGATTGGGTTCAAATACAGATTTTACTACTTTTTGGTTATGTGAACTTGGCCAAATTACTTCACTGAGCCTGTATATATATGCAAAATGTTCCGAGGATCAAATGACATAAGGCATTTTAAAAACTTGTCACAGAATACTCTGGATATATGGGTTGTTTTTTGTTTTAAGATTTTATTTATTTATTCATGAAAGACACAGATCAGCAGAGACATAAGCAGAGGGAGAAACAGGCTGCCTGCAGGGAGCCCAGTGTGGGACTTGATCCCAGGGCCCTGGGATCACAACCTGAGGCAAAAGCAGAGGCTCAGACACTGGGCCACCTAGGTGCCCCTACTCTGGATATGTTAATAGTGATCATAAATAAGCATTTTCCTGCCACCACTGAGTGCCAGGCCTTGTGTTGGGCTCTAAGGAAAAAGACCTGAATCAGACGTGGGCCCTGCCCCCAGGGAGACAGACTGGCAAACAGCTAGCATGAGTCAGGTTGGAAGTTGTGCCAACATAGAGGTCTCAGCCAATTACATTAAGTGCCCTCTGTCATAGAGAAGGTGGCACATACGTTAACCCGTGAAGAATAAATGGAGCTTTAAGCAAGAAGGGAAGGCCATTCCACAGGTGGGAAAAACAGTACACACAAAAGCGGAATTAAGGGAATTAGGGGATTGTTCAGGGAAGGGTCTGGGGTTTTTGGGACATGGCATTGGAGAAAGTGGATAGCAACTAGATTTTTTTTTTTTTTTTTTGAGTGTCAGGAGGTAAGGAACTGATTTTTCTGTAGGCAGTAGGGAATCTCTCTCTCTCTCTCTCTCTTTTTAAGGTTATTATTTGTTTGTTTGTTTGTTTGTTTGTTTGAGAGGCAGAGAGAGAATACAAGCAGGGTGGGGAGGAGCAGAGGGAGGGGGAAGCGGACTCCCCACGGAACAGGGAGCCCAACATGGGGCTTGAACCCAGGACCCTGAAATCATGATCTGAGCCAAAGGCAGATGCTTAACTGCCTGAGCCGTCCAGGTGTCCCAGTGGGGAATCTTTAAATGGTTATTGGTGATCAGATTTTCTCTTTATAAGGCTTTTGCAGGCTCAGTTCAGAGAATGGACCTGAATGAGGCCATAGCTTTCGGGATGTGGAGCACCTGACAGAGTCAAGAGATATTTAGGAGTGACTTGATGAGATGGGGAGTAAGGAAAGGGTCAAGCCTGGGCTGCCCTGGATTTCTCTTGGGTACCTGGGTTCCTGGACAATGCTGGCATGTACTATGATAAAGTTTAGTCGTTCAGCAAACACTGACTATAGTCCACCAGGCCCCAGACCTACCCACAGGCAGGTAATGGGAACCAAGGTCAAAGGCATACATAAAGCTTGTTGCCAGCAAATAGTGAAGCTGTTCTGTGTTGTTAGATAGGCCTGACTGCAAGACTCGTGCTTGTTCCCCAAAATACAGGAGCTGGATCTGACTCTACCATGTGTCCTCACTGATGGAGGAAAGCAAAAATACATCCTTCTCACACAATAGATAAAAATAATTCAAGGGGGACTCCTGGGTGGCTCAGTGGTTGAGCGTCTGCCTTTGGCTCGGGGCGTGATCCCAGAGTCCCAGGACCGAGTCCCACATCAGGCTCCTTGCATGGAGCCTGCTTCTCCTGTCACTACCTCTCTCTCTGCCTCTCTTGTATCTCCTGAATAAATAAAATCTTTAAAAAAAAATTTTTTTTTTTTCAGGAAAGGGACACTTGGCTGGCTTACTCAATAGAGCATGCGACTCTTGATTTCAGGGGTTTTAAGTTCAAGCCCCACAATGGGCACAGAGCTTACTTAAAAACAACAATAAAAGTAATTCAGGAAAGGAAAGGAAAGTTCTCTGAGGGCCCACTCTGTGTGAGGCACAGTGCTCACAAGGCCTTTTAATCATCTGACCAATGTCTGCAGAACATAGGCCAGGTTCCTGTCACAACAAAGTCAAATAAGACAGTCTCAGTATCCCTCTGGTGACCCGGGTGGTGTACTTTTAGTAATCTTGTTTTCTAGATAGAGAAATTGAGGCAGAGAGAGGTGCTTCTGAGGGCAGACTCTAAAGCTCTGCCCTTTGTACTCTACAGGCTAGCAGGTTGCTGAATGGGAAGGGAAGTAAGGAGATGAAACGGCCCTTTGAAAGATCTAAAAAAAAGTTAGACATGCAGCAGTACTGGTGGATTGTGGCTCCAAACTAGCTGGGAAGGGGGTGAGCACAGGCTCTCTACATCTTACATGTGGCAGGACCTCCAGCGAGTCATATCATCCCTATGAACCTTACTTTCTTCCTTTGAAAATGTCCTTTAAGGGGTGAGCCTGGGTGGCTCAGTCAGTTAAGCCTCTGCCTTCAGCTCAGGTCATGATCCGAAGGTCCTGGGATTGAACCCAGCAGCCGAGCAAGGAGCCTGTTTCTCCCTTTGCCTGCCGCTCCCTCTGCTTGTGCTCTCTCTGTCAAATAAATAAATAAAATCCTAAAAAAGGAAAAAGAAAAAGAAAATGTCCTTTAAAATACCCACTTCGTAGGATGGTTGTGAGGATGAAGTCAGCTGACTTCATTCATTATGTAGCACAATATTTGGCAAATGTGACTATTCACACAGTTCAGTGACTTATTTGTTAAAAGAAGGAGTGAATGAAGGATGTCTCTACCATTGCAATGTGCTGATTCATTAATAGGTCCGTAGATTTGTCACCATGAGCATGTGTTTTCCTAGATGAACTAGCTGTGTTTATGAAATGTGTATGCATGGGTGAGGTTTAGGATGTGGGCTTGGGGGCAGTGGCGGAGGTGAATGTTGGTTCAGGGGATACTTAGGACCACCCGACCCAGGCCTCCCCCCCCCCCACCGGCCCAGCCCAGACAGGGAGCAGTATAGAACAACCCTGGTGGAACAGTGGTGCTGGTGGAGTTCAGGCCACCCAGAGCCTCACTCTTCTGCTTTCCCCAGTCTGGAGAAGTACTGGTGAATGTTAAGGAGCACTCCCGGCAGATCAATGATATCCAGTTATCCAGGGACATGACCATGTTTGTCACTGCTTCCAAGGACAACACAGCTAAGGTGAGCCTGGGCAAGGAGTCTGGTGGGGCTGCTCCTACTCCCCTACAAAACTTTCAACTTGACCAACTTTCCCTCAAGGAAACTCCTTTTATAGATTCCCCTCCCCCCCATCTTCTCTTTCTAGCTCTTTGACTCCACAACTCTTGAACATCAGAAGACTTTCCGGACAGAACGTCCAGTCAACTCAGCTGCCCTCTCTCCCAACTATGACCATGTAAGGGAACCCCACCCAGGCTTCCTGCTGCAGCCTCAGAATACTTCCAAGATCTAAGTGTTCACCAAGCAATTGAGATAGGAACTCTTTGGGAAATAGTGTCAGGCAGAGAGGAGATTCCCAGAGCAATAAGAAGGCTGAATTCTTGGAAAGCCCCAGGGGGCAGGGTAGGAGGTGGCTGAAGTAGCTGTTTGGGTCCTGCCCTTAGCATCCTCTCAGTCTGATGTGGGGGCTAGGGGTGAAACACGGAAGATGGACTTGGCTGCCCTTTTGGGCTGTCTAGAGTTTCTTTTTCCCTTCAGGTGGTGCTGGGTGGTGGTCAGGAAGCCATGGATGTAACCACCACCTCCACCAGGATTGGCAAGTTTGAAGCCAGGTAAAGAGGGAGGGGGCTCTTCCACATTGAAACCCCACAGAGTGTCTTTCATGATGGACACAAACCATACTTGTGGAGACTTCCCTTATTTCCTTGCCTGCTAGGCGGTACACCCAGATTTTGGGCCTTCCTGGGACACGTGTATAATGTAGCAGTTATGAACATGACCTTGGGCTCACTCTGAGGTCCTGGACCCTTCCTCCTATTTATCTGTGCCTGGTTTCCTCCACTGTAAATGGAGACAACGATAATATACTTACCTTATAAAATTGTGCAGATCAAATGCATGAGTTACTACTTGTTGCCCAGTAAGGAAATGTTAGCTGGGTATGCAGGCAGACACTTGGGTCCAGTCTTTGCCTCCTCTTATTTTGTTCACATTTATTCCCCCTCATCCCCATTTCCCCACTTTCTTCTTTCCCTTTGGGGAGTGGTACGTCCATTGTGTTTTGAGAGGAGATGGAGAGTGACTTGTCCCTTCCCACCATCCCCTTCCAGGTTTTTCCACTTGGCCTTTGAAGAAGAGTTTGGAAGAGTCAAGGGTCACTTCGGACCCATCAACAGCGTTGCCTTCCATCCGGATGGCAAGAGGTAAGGAGGGCTTCGTGCAGGAAACTGATCTCAGCCCAGATCTGGCCTCTGGCCCTTTCCCGTGCCCTGCCCTCCCTCTCCCTTCCCCCTCCAGTGGGGCCAGCCCCCCCCCCAGAGGGGACACCTGACTGGTCCCTGGCTCTCTCTCCCTCTCCAGCTATAGCAGCGGCGGTGAAGATGGTTATGTCCGCATCCACTACTTCGACCCACAGTACTTTGAATTTGAGTTTGAGGCTTAAGAAGCTTGGATCTCCATCAGGACCAGGGGAAATTTCTGGGCCAGGGCTCACAAAGTTTTGGACTCTGAGAAGTAAATTAGTTTGGAAATAAGTGGTTTCTGGTCAGAAATTTTGTGGGGACTATTTCATTCATTTCCCTTCTTAGTGACACCCCAGAAAATGTATACTAGTCGTGGAGATCTTTATTATTTAGACCTTCTCCTGACACTATAAGATGCGTCAAACCTGGAGTTTCTGTATGTTTTAGATTAGGCTGGGTTGCAGACGCCCTGATCCAAGGTCCAATGGTGCTGAGGGACCCTGCAGGGTGGGGGGTGTCTCAGGAACATTTCAGCCATCATCCAAGGAGCCAGCACTTAAAGTTGGAGCTCAGAGGTTGTAACTGTTGGCTGACAGCCCTTTGTTTTCTCCTTATCTGTCACTATTTGCCACACCTTCTCCCATGCCACCTCTGAAGGTTCAGGCAGGCAGATCCAGTCCAGAAACAGGCCTGTGGAGGAGGACAGATGAAGCTGGGCAGAGGGGCTAGCTTCACAGGGGAGAAGGTGGGATTGGGGGTTACCTTGCCACAGTCGCAGGCTCTGGGGCTCCACAGAGGGCCAGATGGCCAAGGGATTTGGGATGTAGAGTGAGTTCCGGAGCTTCCGTTGCTCATTTGGCTGGTTGAGCCCAGACCACAAGGAGTGGGTTCAAGTCCTTACTTTACACAGGCATCTCTAGGGAGTGAGTTTCCAGACTCCGATTATGCCTTCTGGGATTCGGGACTGGGGACCCTGGTGAGTAGGGTGACAGCCATCTCCTGGGGCAGTGATGACCTGTCCTTTTCTCCTGCCAATGTTCTTGCCAGTCAGATACTGTACTGGGCACTGGAATAAAGTAAGACAAGACAAAGTCCTAGTTGTTCAGGAGTTAATTCCATTAGTTCTGCCTGGAAGTGTCAGGGAAGGCTGAGAATGTGCCAGTTGGGCAGAAACTCACCAGGTGTGCAAAAGCATAGGAATATTTAGGAGGAGAGACTACAGGGCCAAGACCAAGAAAGTGGGAACAGGCCCAACTGAATGTTGGTGGATTGTTTTTTTAGAGAGGACGCACACAAGCAGGGGATTGGGGCAAGAGGGAGAAGGAGAACAAGAGAATCAAGCAGGCTCTACTTCTGGCACAGACCCTGACATAGGGCTCAACACCGGGCTCCGTCTCATGAGCCTGAGATCATGACCCTAACATCAGGACGTGAGCTGAAGTCAAGAGTCAGATGCTTACTGACTGAGCCACCCATCAGTCTGTGTTTTTTAAACTGGTGGCAGAGCTAGAACAGGGAGGCAGCTGTTCCAACAGCCCAAATAGGAAGAAGAGTCTGGACTGGGGTTAGTAGGAGGGGCCTTTTACAGGAAAAGACATGGTAAGAAGGTTTCAGGAGAAAGGCTGTATATGAAGGATGGGTGGATGGGGGAGGTACATAAAGATAACAGGTTTTTTTGTTTTGTTTTGTTTTTTAATTAATGAGAGACACAGAGGCAGAGACACAGGCAGAGGGAGAGGCACACATGCAGGGAGCCCGATGTGGGACTTGATCCTGGGTCTCCAGGATCAGTCCCTGGGCTGAAGGTGGCGCTAAACCGCTGAGCCACCCAGGCCACCCAAGATAACCGTTTCTAACCTGGGTGACCCAGCAGTGGAGTCCGTGAAAAGTGTGTGTGTGTGTGTGTGTGTGTGTGTGTGTGTGTGTGTGTGCGCGCGCGCGCGCACGAGCACACGCACACAGGGCACATCAGACAACAAAAGGGAGGAGTGTGAGCCCTCCCTCCCCTCAGGCTGATGAGAGAAAGATGGCTTTGGGGGGCTTGGGAACATATCTAACAAGTCAACCAGATAACGACCACTGCATGTGTGCCCACTGCGCCCACTGTGCCAGGCCCTTCCCATCCTTTAACTCAGCTAATCCAATTCAGCCCCACCCCACAGAGATGGCTGTTACTGGAAGCCTTCTTGCTACTGACAGGAAACAGGTTTCCTGTGATCACCCAGCAGGTGAGTGATGGAGCTGGAAGTTAAGCCCAAACCACTGGACTCAGTTTTCAACCTCTATTCCATTGCTTCACTAGAATTAGCCCCGCAAAGTGGTGGAAAGCCCCAGAAATGATTTTGCAGCAACTTTCCCCTTCAGTCCTTATTTTTAAGCTGGAGTGTCCTTGGTCTTTGTTGTGGACAGAGTGGGTAGGTCTAAAGGATTGGCCTTGGACCCATCCAAATCTGGGTTTGCAGAAGTTCTGGGGAAAGGTGAGATTTGGAGGCAGGGGAGGAGAGAACACTCAAAAGTTTTTCCCAAAGAAAAACTCATCCAAAAGGGAAAGATGTCTTCTCGTGCTGACAGCAGGTACCTGACCCTGGCCTGTGCCTGGCCCCTGACCCACTTTGACTCCCCCCTCACTCACCTCTCCTTTCTGCTGTTGCAGAGGAAGGTGCCAAAAGGGGAGGCATAGGCGTGCTCAAACAGAGCCAACAGCAGCCCCTCCCAAAACTCCAGCAACAGCGGGAACTGGCAGCCCAGCTGCCACACACAGTGCAGGACGAGAAAGATGGGTGCCTCATGCTTGGGGCAGGTATGGGAGAAGGCCAAGGTGGCACAGTGCAGCTGGAAGGAGTGGCCGGCCTGGGGAGGGGGCAGAGTGATGGGCACAAGGAAGCAGTGTTTCTGGATGGAGGGGGAGGGCTGGGGCTCAGCGGCCAGTTACCTGAATCCATTCACGCTCCACCAGTTCCTGGAATCCAGCCATGGTCCGGCTCAAGGGGTTCAGGATGAGTTGGGCCAGCGAAGTCACAAACCGGGTGCTGTCCATGCTTTCAGTCCCATGCACCAGGATGCAGGCCCCTTCCCTGTGGGCCAGGGCTTATTAACAGTGGCCAGTCCTCCCCAGCCCAGGGTGCCCTGGCCAGGAATCAAATGGGCCCGTTTCTAGGCTGTATGTGCTTACTGAGACATGGCTATGTGCCCAGGGGTAGAGAGCCCTGCCTGTCCACCCTGTTCTCTGCCTCGGTGGGTGCTTACCTTTCCATGCCCTGGGCAGCTAGGCAGGTGGTGCTCAGTGCCTCCTTCACGTGTACCAGCCAGCGGCAGCCCTCTAGTCAACTGAGCCAGCTGTCCATGCTCTCTATCCAGGTCCCCAAAGGCTTCCACCAGGCACACAAAACTCTCCTGTAGGGGGCGACCCCTGCACAAGTGGGAATCTGGTCATCCCGTCCCCAACCAAGCTCTGGTGAGCACAGACCTGGGAACAAGTGCTCTAGACCAATGAAAGAGACAAAGAACCCTCAGAGGAACCCTTTGACAAAAGGGACACCGGACCCTTTGGGGGAGCCCACCTAAACTGATGGAAATGATTCAGTATCTTTGAGGATTTCCCAATCTGATGGAGGAGACCCAAGACCCCTTGGGGGAGACCTAGTCTATTAGGGGTGCCTGGGGAGTGGTGACACAACCCTCTCTGGATATAAGAGGAAGCCCCCAATTTGATGGAAATGTCACAGTACCCGTGAAGTGGCCCAATGTGATAGGAGCAGCATGGTACTACCTGGGGGAGTCCCATCTGACAAGAGAGACACAACACTTAGGATTCTGGTATCTCTCTTGCTTCCCAGGAACTGCTCCGCTCAGGATCACCACTGCAACCTCCTGCTGGAAAATCTAATGAAGGCTTTTCCAGGCCTGTTTAATAAAAGCCTTCAATGGCTCCCCTCTCTATCTCTTTACGAGACAGAGTCTAAGATCATAATCATGGCATTCAAGGCTTTTGCTCAGGTCCTGTCACCCCGTTAGCCCCATCTCTCTCTGCCTTTCACACTCGACACTTCCACCGTTCTGAAATACTTGTAGCTCCCCAAACAGGACAAATGACAAGGAGTTCTGCTCCTATACACCTGTAGTTCCTCCCTTCCATCTGGAATGTCCTTTTGCTCTCTGGCTAACTCCTCTTTCAGGTGTCAGCAAATGCCTCCAATTCTCAGGGAAACTTTCTTTGCACTGCCTACACACAAGAGAGGGGAGCCTGCTCTGTGCTGCTGCTCATCACACTGAATCCCAACTGCCTAATTACTACTGATCTCCCAACCATGTCTGGGATGGCCACCATCTCAGCCTCTGTGCTCAATCAACATAGGTTGAATTAAGGAATAAACAGTTATGTATTCTGGAAAGGGGAGCAGTCCTCTCTCCTCAAAGCACAAAAACTCCCTGAGGACCTCCTTCTAGTACTACCATCACCTGGATGGATACAGCTGTGTAGGTAGAGCCCCCAGGGGAGGGCTGGGTCCAATGGGGAGAAAAGGGTGTTTGGTGAGGTTGTTCTTAGAAATCAAATTTCAGTTTAATGTAAAGAGAGGCTTTTTCTTTCCAGACAGAATTGGGGTGCCGAGAGGAATGAGCTCTCAGTGGGCGGTGTGCAAGTGAGGACGCTCACCCGGTAGGATGGCTACCTGGAAATGCTTAACAGTCCCCAAGGTCTGTGGAGGACATTCCCAACTCCTACCCCCTCCCTGAGGAGTCCTGTAGGAGAGCCCCTAGGAGAAGATCTGAAGACCTCTCACCTCTGCAAGGGGCCAATGCAGCCGTTCCCAGCCAGGGCAGGCGCCTCTGGCCTGGGTGCCGCCGCCGGTCACACGGGCCTGTTTGGCGGCCTGAGCCCCGCGGGTGTCCAAGATGAAGCCCCGGGCCCCAGGGCCAGCGCCTGCAGCTCGCAGCAGCTCCTCGTCCTCAGCGCAGCACCTTTTCTGGGGACCAGTCAGGGGCTCGCTGGAACGTAGCAGAACCTGCGAACCGGGACGCCACTCCGGAAGCTGTAGCCACCTGGCCCTGGCTCGGGGATTTCGCTCTGGGAGCCCCGTGGTGGTGGTGGGGGGGGGGGTGGCCTAGACCCTCGGGCTGGTCTAGAGCTGGGGGGGGGGGCGGGCTGGAGCTAAAGGACCCTAGCGGCGGAACTCGCAAGGCGTGGGGCCCAGCTGGAGTGGGGTGTAGCGGGGGTAAAGCGACCCGAAGAGTAGAACGTGGGTGGGTCCAGGGTTGAGGAAGACGACTGGGCTCCAGGGACCCCACGGGCCGGGGGCGGGGCCCGAGGTGGATGGAGACTTCGAAGCCCGGCAGAGGGGCGGGGGCGGGGGGAGGGGAGGGCGCAGGGGGCGGGGCCCGTTGGAGGCCGGTTGGGGTTCGGCTAGAAAGGGCAGGAGCTCGGGCTACAGGCGCGCGACGAATTGGCCCGGCCGTGCAGGAAAGGGCCGAGAAGGGCCGCAGTTGGTCTTAGTAGCGGAGTCTGGGTGGGTGGGCTCACGGTTCGCTGGGGCGTGGTGGTGGCTGAGCACCGGGCAGCGGCCTCCCGGGCGGAAGCGGGAGCTGAGCGCCAGGGCCCGGTCCTTTACAGCGCGCCCACGATCACGGCGCGGGGGTAACTGGGGCACAAGCTGAAGTTCTCGTTCACCTCTCTCAGCCGCCACGCGTTGGTCTGCCGCGCAGGGAAAGGCGAAGGCCAGGTTAGGGCGGTCGGGGAGCGCCGGGGCCTCACGCCCCTTGCAGGTGCGGCGGCGCTCGCACGACCACAGGCCCGCGCGACCGCACCCACCTCGCGGGCTACTCGCTCGTAGCGTTCGGGTGGGTGGAAGTGCCAGGCGTCGCCCAATCTCAAGCCCTTGGGACGGTAGAAGAATGGAAAGGAAGTGATGACCGATTCCAAAGGCGACAGCGCCAGGGGAAGGAAGTCGGGGGATCCGGGCAAAGTCGGAATCGTCTCGCCCGCGCCCTCCCAGCCCTCCGCTCCGCAGCCCCTGCTCTGCACATCCTGCAGAGCACCCCGCGTCCCCTGCCATTAGCTGTGTTCCAGGGTAACACTGGATGCCGGGTCGCCTTGCGCAGTAGGCCTTGTTTACTCCCCTCCTAACGAAATAGGGGTAGCTTAAGGGCCTCGGGAGCGCGGCTTGCGTACCTCCATGGAGCGGGCGATGTCCAGCGTCGCTCCCAAGCCCTCTATGTCCAGCTGCAACACTCGCAGGTCCTTACAGCTCCACGTGATGGTGCCGAAGCCACCCGAGACCCTGGGGATAGACGGGCTTGAACTTAGTGTCCCCTGCCCCCCTACCAGGGGAGGAGAAACGAGTTTATTAGGATTGGACGTAATGCAAGGGGGCACCAGCTCCAACTGTGCTTGCCCTTCCCCCTCCCCCGCGGAGCAGAAAGCTCTGCAACTACGGGGACGCCCCCGCCACGTCTCACCGCTTCTCGATGGAGTCTACACTACTACGCAACAGCAGCAGCCACAGGTCTGAAGTGACCTGGGGCCCTGGCGACAGCAGCAGGTGGTGGCCGGTGACGCATAGCGCGCCACGCAGTGGGGGCGCCTCCGGACCCCGCAGGAGCTTGGCTTGGGCCTGGCCCGTACGGATCAGCTCCGAGAACTCCATTCCGCCTGTCGTGGGCCTGGAGCCCAGCAGGACAGACTCCAGGAGCGTCAGGCGGGGCGAGCGCGGGCTCGGGCTCCTAAAGGGACGGGAACTGGCTGGGCAGCTGGCGACGCCGGCTGGACAGCTGTTAAGGAGGCCCCTTGGAGGAAGTGATCGATCGATCGGTTTCACAGGAATGTTCCCCTCCTACTGCCAGCACCTCTGAGCCAGGACCCCGGGCCCGAACCTTTTTAAGGAAACCTCAATTTCATCCATCTGTGAAATGGGGAGAATAATCTTGCTTAAAGCCCTTTACCTCGTGCCTTGGTCGCAGGTGGCACTCAACATTTTTTTTTTAACAGGTGCTGGCACTCTCACTGACTTAAAAAAGAAAAATACCTTCTCTTCTTGTGTACCCTGGTAGAAGGGTGGAAAGGGTAGGTGTGAAACTGGGAACTATCTACTTCCTCCCCTTATAGCGGAGGCTGGGTGGGGGAAATCCCTTAGTCCACCTTAAGTGCAAGCAGCTATGTAGCTGGTGCCCCTCCCCCACCGCAGCTGGAAGTCCCTGCCTGAGGGCGCCCTCTACGGAGACCACTTCTGGCTTAGTCCTGCCCTCCAAAGCCCAGTCTCCTATCACTTCATCCTTCAACCAAATTTGAATGGCCCATACACTAAACTGGACACTGTATTTAGTGAGGGACCCAAGGATGATGGAGGAAGGTTCTGTTCACTAGACCAGAGTGTGGTCTGGCAAGAGATACAGCTAAACTGATAAATTTCAAGAGTTGCAAGGATTTACTAGAGGACTCATCCATTTATCCATCCATCCAATTATTCTTTCACTTTAAAAAAATTCTTTCATTTCTTAAACACTAATGCCTACATCGTGTTAAGTGTTGATTATCAAGAAGAATAAAAAAGGGATCCCTGGGTGGTGCAGCGGTTTGGCGCCTGCCTTTGGCCCAGGGCGCGATCCTGGAGACCCGGGATGGAATCCCACGTCGGGCTCGGGCTCCCGGTGCATGGAGCCTGCTTCTCCCTCTGCCTATGTCTCTGCCTCTCTCTCTTTCTCTCTCTGTGACTATCATAAATAAATAAAAATTTAAAAAAAAAAGAAGAAGAATAAAAAAGACCATACCTTTAAAGAGCCTTTTGGACCACTGGGTTCCAGGCTTGGTGTAGGTGCACATGTATGCAAAACCTTTTATTTTATTTTTTTTAAAGATTTTGATATTTATTCATAGAAATGAAGAGAGAGGGGCAGAGACACAGGCAGAGGGAGAAGCAGTCTCCATACAAAGAGCCTGACATGGGACTCGATCCAGGGTCTCCAGGATCATGCCCCGGGCTACAGGCGGCGCTAAACCGCTGCACCACCAGGGCTGCCCGAAAACCTTTTAAAACACACACACAGGGATCCCTGGGTGGCGCAGCGGTTTGGCGCTTGCCTTTGGCCCTGGGCGCGATCCTGGAGACTCGGGATCGAGTCCCATGTCGAGCTCCCTGCATGGAGCCTGCTTCTCCCTCTGCCAGTGTCTCTGCCTCTCTCTCTGTGTGTGTGTGACTATCATGAATAAATAAATAAATAATCTTTAAAAAAAAAAAAAAAACAACCACACACACACACAGAGGGACACCTGGGTGGCTCAGCGGTTGAGCGTCTACCTTCTTCGGCTCAGGGCCTGATCCCCGGGTCCTGGGATGGAGTCCCGCATCGGGCTCCCTGGGCTCCCTGCGAGGAGCCTGCTTCTCCCTTTGCCTCTGTCTCTGCCTCTCTCTTTGTGTGTCTCTCTTGAATAATAAACAAACAAACAACAACAACAAAAAACCATACACAAAGAAAAGAAATCAGGTGGATACCCATAGTATAAACATAAAATCGAAGTAGTCTGTGAAAAGAACTAGAGGTAAAAGAGTGTAAATTGTAAAAATCCAAACCAAATGGGCTGGGAGGGCAGCCCAGGTGGCGCAGCGGTTTAGCGCCGCCTGGAGCCCAGGGTGTGATCCTGGAGTCCCTGGATCGAGTCCCACATCAGGCTCCCTGCGTGGTGCCTGCTTCTCCCTCTGCCTGTCTCTGCCTCTGTGTGTGTGTCTCTATGAATAAATAAATAAAATCTTAAAAAAAAAAAAGGTCTGGGAATTCGTTAGAAATGTGCCCCAACCCACGTGTCTCTTTAAGCAAGTTTTTCAGGAGATTCTCTTGCACAAGAAAGTGTGAGAACCATTGGAAAGTACATAAAAAAGGACAAAACTAGGAGTACCTGGGTGGTTCAGTCAGTCAAATGTCTGCCTTTGGCTCAGGTCATGATACAAGGGTCCTGGGATAGAGCCCTCCCCTAAGCAGGGAGCCTGCTTCTGCTTCTCCCTCTCTCTTTGCTGTTTCCCCTGCTTGTGCTCTCTCTCAAATAAATAAATAAAATCTTAAAAAAAAATAGGCAAACTAATCTTCACTGTCAGAAATTGGGAGAGAAAAAAGAAAGAAGAAAGAAAGAAAAAAAGAAAGAAAGAAAAGAAAGAAAGAAAGAAAGAAAGAAAGAAAGAAAGAAAGAAAGAAAAAAGAAAGAAAGAAATTGGGAGAGTAGTCACAGACCAGGAGCACCTCCTGGATGCTGGTAATGCTCAGTTGTTCTATCTGGGTGCTGGGTACATAAGTGGGTTCAGTTGGGGAGAATTCAGCAAGGCTTGTCCTTAATTATGATGTGTGAAATTTTCTGCGTGTATATTATAGATCAATACAAAATTTAAAAAAGGGAACAGCTCTGGTTGAAGCCCTGGGAGGGGCAGGGATAGGCGGGTCTAGGAACCAGCCACAGCTCTGTCTTTATCACATACAGACCTCCTGAGAGATTTCCAAGGGAACCTAAAGTTCCTGAGGCTGAAATCATTGATCTGTCCCCATAGAATCAGTGACTTATCTAAGTGTCATGAGTGAGGAGAGAGGGCACCTCACCAAACTTCAATCCACTCCCACCCCCTTAACTTGGGTCTTGGGAAGAAGGCCAAGACTTTAGTGTGGATGATGCTTTTCTCATCCTGGAGCAACTTCCTTTCTGGGAACAGGGTGTCTCCTTCTGGGCAAAGACAATAAAATTCATCCAAGGGGCAGGAGGAGCCCTGCCCCTCCGCCATCCGGATGGGCATCACGTGGCTCCCCAGAGTTGCAGGCCAGGAAAATCCCAGCTCTTGCACACTCAGCCTTCCATACCCCTCTATTCGCCCTCCCTGACACACTCAGCCTCTCTGACCCACCTTGAACATTCACCATCACACACTCCCTGGAACAGCTCTGTCACTCTCAGCTCCTGCCACCACTCCCCAGCAATACTGCCAGCCTTTCCCAAATTCCCAGGGCTGCAGCCTTGCCCTGTCACCCACTCCAAACCCACCATGTCCCTGGGGCCACTGAAATTCCAGGCACTAGGTGAAGAAAATGAAGAGGATGAGGAGGAAGAGAGCCTGGACTCTGTGAAGGCGCTGACGGCCAAGCTGCAGCTGCAGACACGGCGGCCCTCATATCTGGAGTGGACAGCCCGAGTTCAGAGCCAGGCCTGGCGCAGGACCCAAACCAGACCTGGGCTGGGGGGCCCTGGGGCCCTCTGCGGATTCGACTCAATGGACTCTGCCCTTGAATGGCTCCGACGGGAGCTGGTGAGTTGGGTAGGGTGGGCAGTCATCCTTAGGACCCAAGAAACATGGGTTTGGGGAGGGCATGAGAATGGGCATCACCTCTAGCAACTGCCTACTCCTTGGCTTTCTCCTGGGGCTGAGGAGCCGTGAATGGACTCCTCCAGTGATTTATTCAGCGATACTTGCTGAAGCAGGATTCCATCCAATCTACCTACTACTGACTACTCCCGTGACTCTGGGGACAGAGCCCTGCCCTTTGGGGCCACGGGTCTTAAGTGGGGAAGGCATAGCCTCCCCTACTCTGGGAATGGCCGTACCTCAAAGTTGCAGGGAGGGACAAAATGACTCATTGACCACACTGTAGGCAGAATCTGAGGAAGCCAGCATTATGCAGGTGGCTCTTAACCCAACATGTGCAAACAAAAAAATGTCTAGGCTCCAAATTGGAGATTGCACTTAGTTGACCTGGGGTGGGGCACCGGACACCTGTGTTTGTGTAACAACTGCTCCTTAGCTTAGTTTGAGAGCCAGATCTGGACGTTGGGGAGGGCTCAAGCTGGGGCGATGGGGGGTGGGGAGGACACAGCCTGTGCAAAGACCCAGGGTGTTGACAGGAAGGGAAGACTGATGCGAGTGGCTGAGGACCCAGGCAGCCTCACGCCCCCTCTCTGCTGCAGCAGGAGATGCAGGCTCAGGACCGGCAGCTGGCCGGGCAGCTGCTACGCCTGCGCGCCCAGCTGCACCAGCTGAAGGTGGACCAAGCCTGTCACCTGCACCAAGAGCTGCTGGACGAGGCTGAGCTGGAGCTGGAGCTGGAGCCTGGGGCCGGCCTCGCCTTGGCCCCGCCGCTGCGGCACCTCGGCCTCACCCGCATGAACATCAGTGCCCGGCGCTTCACCCTCTGCTGAGGGGCACCTGCTTGCCTCCTGGGACCTCCTGGGAAGGGGGAAGGGAGGGGTTCCTCAAAGGTGCCAACACCTGGCAAGGGGTGGTGGGAGGGTTGCTAGGGGCGGGGCTCCCTCAGTTCTCTGGGAGCATAAAGCCCCAGCATCCTGTTACCCTTGCTGCCCTAGATTGGGGAGGGGAGGTTAGAGGAAGGGGAGAAACTCACAGACCTCCAAGCTCTTCAATAAAGGCCCTCTCTGTTTCCCAACAAGGTCTCTGCAGTCATTTATTCAGGCCCAAGGTCACTGTGTGTCATCTGTAGCTAGGGCCAGGACTTCCACTGTGGGAAAGAAGGCCTGGGTTGGGGGTAGAGATGAACAGATGAACCCCCATCTCTCCCCCAGCTCCAGCTCTGTCTCTCTATCTTATCAAGCTCAGAACTGGGCAAGAGCTTGAAATCCTGAATCACCCCTATGGAAGGTGACAGGTCAATGGGCAGCTGAAGAATGCAGGACCTAGTAGACCTGGGTTCAAAGCCAGCTCCACCTTGCATTTCTTTTCTTTTCGCTTTTTTTTTTTTTTAATTTATTTATTTGAGAGAGAGATAGAACAAGTAGGGTGGGGTGGAGGGAGAGGGAGAAGCAGACTCCCTCTGAACAGGGAGCTGGAGGTGGGGCTCAATCCCAGGATCCTGAGATCATGACCTGCCCTGAAGGCAGACGCCCACCCAGGCGCCCCTCCACCATGCATTTCTAGCAGACCTTGAGGATGTCCCTAAGCTTGCAGCTGTTTCTTTACCTCTAAACTGGAAATGCTATTTCTTACTCCACAAGTAGTTGGGGATGTCTGAAGTGGGACAACACTTAAACACTCAAAAAACATGAACTCTCTCTTGCTGATCCTTGCTTCCGCCAGTGGTATGAATGCTGTTGTGCTGAAGGCCAGAGACGGGCCTGTGCAGGGCTCTGGGTCACCGTAGGTTTTTTTTACAACATATCTCCTCAGCCTTTGTTTCTGTGTTACCCTCTTTGTCTGACTTTCCAGCTCAGGCTTCCTCTTCCCCCCACCCATTTCCTGTCTCCCCCTTCCCTCTGCAGCTGAGGTGTACACAGCATCAGCTTCCACCTCACAAACCCCAACAATGCTCTGTGGGCTCCCCTCCCCCAAACTTCTCGCTAAGTGTGGGCTCCAGCAGTGGTGACTGTGACACATTTATACTTTCCTATGGGTGGGGCCAAGGCCCAGCTCTTGTGCCTCATAGACACCGTCCAGAGTTCCTCATAACACTGATAACCTGGCACTTAACCTATAATGGGTGCCTGGCACTTAACCTATGATGGGTGCCACCCTCAGCTTGGCCCCAGGGGGAAGGGAGATTCTCAGCCTGCTTGCTGCTCCTGACAAGGCTTCTCTGTCCTGCCTCTAACAGAAAAGACCTGCCAGTCAGCGGCTGGCACCTGGGTGCCTGGGCAGGAGTGTTTGTCCGCCTTCCACCTGTTGCAGGAGATGGTGGCAGACCCTACATGTCTAACAGGGGCTGTGACCTTGCCTCTTCCTGAATTAGAAGTGTCGCCCTGATGAGTGGGTGTTAGCCTGTCCTCTGCCCCCAGCAGAAGCTGTTAATCTGTCATTCTAAAGATGAGGTGGTCTGGCCTGCTTGCTTAAACAGCTTGCTGTCCAGCCTTCTGTCTGTAAGAAGCTTACCCTCTGACTCTAGTAAAGTTGTTGTCCCTTGCCCTGAGATGGCATGACAGTTGCTAGGCAGCCATATTAGCCTGACATCTGACTGTAGCATAGGATGTTTGGCTCCCCAACTATTTAACAGGGCTAGTGTTCTCTCCTCTGACTTGGAAATGGGGTCACCTTTGCCATCTCTAGACTGCAATGAAACGTTCACTCAGCTCTCAGACTGTGACAGCCGTGCCGCTCGCCTTTCACTGAAAGCTAAGTGTGTGTCTGCTCACCCTTTGCTCACTGGGGTATAAAGACTGCCCTTGACTCTCTTGTCCAGGTGCTCCCTGGGGGGCAGGAGAGAGGTTCCATCAAGTGTCCTCTCTTCAGCTCCAAGTGCCACCCTCGGGAGGGCCTGGAGATGGTTAGGACCCCCAGGGGCCGAGGAGTGGGGGGCTCTAACAGCAGGAAGCTTGGGGTGCCGGAGGCTTGTGGTTGGGCTGCTGGGGCCCGGTTGGCTGCGGAGCCCTTAGGAGGAGGCAGGAAGTCAGGGTGGGACGTGGGCGCGCTAAGACAGGCGGTGGCCACCTTAGCAAGGGGAGCCAAAACCATGTGTAAGCAGCCAGGCCAAGCCAGGAGGACCATGTGAATGGGACCAGAGGGCTCCCGGGCCGGGCAGGTAAGGAACACTGGGAACAGGGGTCTCAGGGCTGTGCTGGGAGCCTGACAGTGGGGGCTACACCTGGGCATGGGCATGGGGCTGGGCTCCCTGGGCATCCAGCAGCCCTACAGGCTGGGGAATAGAAAAATCTTGCTAGAGGTCAGGTGGGCCTCATACAGTTCAGCTGGATCACCTCTTGCCCCTGCCACACCGTCAGTTACTGGTCCCTACCTCACTGGGAGCATTTTCTTAGAGATCTGGCACATGGACTGTCAGGTATTTTAAAAAGGCCTCAGAAATCCCTGAGTTCAAGGGCACCTGGGTGGCTCAGTTGGTTAAGCCTCTGCCTTCAGCTCAGGTCATCATCTCAGGGTCCTGGGATCGAACCCCACATTGGGCTCCTTTGTTCAGCAAGGAGTCTGCTTCCCCCTCTCCCTCTGCCCCTAACCCCACTCATGCTCACTCACTCTCTCTCTCAAATAAATAAATAAATAAATAAATAAATAAATAAATAAATAAAATATTGAAGAAAGAAAGAAAGAAAGAAATCCCTAAGTTCAGCCCCTGATCCGATGATGGGTGAACATCTTGAGGCCCAGAGAAGGCAAGACCTCCCTCCCCACAGTACTCAGCAAGGCAGTGGCAGGGCCAGTCTCTGGGAGAGGGTGGTGGCCTAGGCTAGTACTACCCCCCACCCATGGAGCAGGGTGATAGTCAGGCTTGAGTCAGGGGATCCAAGAATCCTGTTGATTGCTGGGGCAGACCCCAGGGACAGGAATCTTCTGAGAGAGACAGAGTGAGATTGAGAGAGAGAGAGAGAGAGAGAGAGAGAGGAATCCCTCGGAACATCCGGATGGACACGTGAGAAGTGATTTTAGCCTCAGTGACCAGCAGCGCTGGAGAGGCAGAGGTGTCTTTTTGGAAGCTGCTGGATACCTGAGGGTATGTTTATCATCTGGGATGGGCCTCCAGGGCGGAAGTGTCTGACTGGAGGTCAGGGAGTCAAGGACAGAGAATGGGAAGGGAAGAGCAGAGGAAGGGCTATTTTTATCCGAGACAGGGGTGCAGTTGGCCCTGGGCAGAGAACGTCTGCATTTCCATCTGGAAAGTTGCCATTCCTGCCCCTGCTGAGTGTCATGGGATGCCCACCCCCTTCCTCTGGTTTCACCCCCTACCCCCCACTGCATGTGTAGGACCAGTTGGTCCTGCTGATTGCTGCTTCAAACCCCTGGGAAGTGGAGACCCAGGAAGGCATAGTCAGCTACCTGCCCACCCCCTCACTTTCTTCTGAACCTTCAGTTTATGGGGGGCATCCCCATGTGAGCCAGACTTTCCAGGTTTCCCTCACCCTACCCTCCACCATTGGAATTTTTTTGACACATAGTTTCCACCTAGTCAGCAGCTATCCCAGCCTTTCTCTTGTCCCCAAGCCCAAGGCCGGTAGCCTTTTGTGGGGACTCTCCCTGTGCTTCAGAGGGGCTCATCTGCACCCTGGACTTGCACCCCTCTCATCCAGCATGTGCTGATAGATCACTCAGGGTCCCTAGCCTTCATGGCTCAGGGACAGAGGTTCTCCTCAAAGGGTTAAGGACCAAGTGATGGGCAAGAGAATAAGGTGAGGTTCTCAGAGAACAGCCTTCCCTCAGGTGATCTGGAAGACTCCCTGGAAGAGTCAACACAGTTCTGAGAAGGACAAAGGCCCATTTTGGAAAGCAGTTATGACATAGCCAAGGGCACTGTCCTTGGTTTCTGTTTCTTGAGAAGCAAGAGAATAGAGCAAGACCAAACACCAGACAGTTAATGGACATGGTGTAGTGCAAAGAACATGGGTTTCAGGGTTAGGCCAACCCAGATACAGTTTTGGTCCTGGCATTTTCCTGAACAATATTGACTTCATCCTCCAGACTCCCAACTCCAGATCACTAATCTGTGAAGAGGCAATAATAAATCTCTCCCTTACAGAATGCTTGTGGGGACCTGTGATATGCCCCGGGTTGTACCTGACACATTGTAGGTACTTAACAGAGGTTAGGTAGTCCCTCCCCTGTAAATAGTGCATCAAAGGGAAGACTGTTCACACCCAGAATTACACCTATTCAGCACCTTGGCTGGCCAGTGCACCACCATTCCCTCACACTTGTGGTGTGGCTTTGCAAATGAGCTTGTTTCCTGTGTTTAGTAGGAGTGAGAACTCTAAGCTGAGCCACAGAGTCTGCTCAGCATTAGATGAGAGTTCCCCACACACAACTTCACACTCACCCTATCCTAAACACGAGACATATGACCAGAAAATATATGTGTGCACGAATGGGCAGAGGCAGAAGCAGGTTCTATACACACAACATACACTGGATCTTACAAATCTATATACACCCCCACAGGTCGGTGACTTCAAGGCCAAGCTCAGTTCAGTGAAAGCAATGCTGAGGGGAGCTGGGGGTGGGGGTGGGATGGGGGCCGGGAGGACCAACATACCATCCAGAGAGGTGGCCTCCAATAACAAACTTTGGTGTTGGCTTTAATGTAGCTGGCGCTGCATTTCCAATGCTTGTTCTTTTTTTCTTTTTTTAAGATTTTATTAATTTATTTGAGAGAGAACGAGCAGGGAGGAGGGGCAGAGAGAGAGGGAGAGAGAGAGAAGTAGACTCCCCGCTGAGCAGTAAGCCTGGATCTGGGGCTTGATCCCAGGACTAGAGATCATGACCTGAGCCAAAGACAGATGCCCAACCGCCTGAGCCACCCAGGTGCCCTTCCAATGCTTGTTCTGAAGAATACCAGTTCCATGAGGCACCTAAAAGGGAATCATTCTGGGGCCAAATCAACATGACCTCAGCTACAGACTGGCCCATATTAACTTCTCAGTCCAAGTCGGCTTGTTAGCACTCTGAGAGTTCCCCCAGAGAAGGGGCCTGATCCATTCTG